CTCGTCCATACCTTAGCCCCAGGGAGAGAGACCTCCCACCCGCCCTGCTCGGAATACGGTCCTTGAGACCTCAGACCATAACTGCGAATATAGAGCTGTCTCCTACAATGGCCGTGTACTCGCGGCACAGCCGAGGGTTAATGAAACAGAAACTTAACTCTATGCATTCTAAGAGTGTCCGATTTTGGCGGAGCGATCACCTTGGAGGGACCACGCGGGCTCCCATGCGGTCCCTGCTCGATACATTGAGGGCGGAGGGCGGAGGTATATTCCAGGAGTACCTGCTTTCCCATCCATCTTACCAAAAGACACACGAGGACTGTCTTGTTCAGTAGTCACGTCTTTTTGGCCACAAATCAGATTTAACTTCACGTTGATAGAGCAAACTAGAAATTTTTCTTGCATTTTATCCTTACACCGGTCACGTGAAACAGGGGTTACTATCGGCGTTTCACAATTGATTCATAATTGCGGTTGCCTGACATGCTGTAGCTGAAATCCTCCACCTTCATTTCTTATTAAGCGTGGGGATGGATTAGTTCGCCGGTTTCTGCCTTCTTAAATTCAGCCTAGGGATGAAGGTGGAAATTTAAACACCCAACACTTCAGTGCTGCAAAAGCACAAAACATTTTGGGAGTGAAGTGGAGAAGGTGGAATGCTGATTCCAGGCACATGGAGGTTTTAGGTAAGGCCCACAGGCAAGAAGGGTCTGAGAAAATGCAAGTAAAGTTGTCCAATAAAACTAGAACACATTGGATTATAGAGGTAGGCAGGGTCAAATTAGGGATATTTTATTGGAAATGTTTCCTAAGAGCAATAGTGACAAGGGTAATTTAGAGTTGTAAGTAGGGAGTGACATAAATTTTCTTTTTTTTTTAAATGGCTGCTGATAAAGAATGATTGTAAAGGGCAGAACTGGAGGCCTATCAATTCCACTTTCTAAAAGCCTCCCTGAATCAGTCCTAAGAACCTTTGATCTATTAATTTCCACTGCTACTACACTACTGTAGGCCATCATCATCTATTGCGAGCATAAGTAGGCAAACTTTTTCTGCAAGGGCTGGATAATACATATTTTAAGCTTTGCAGGCCAGACAATCCTCTCTCAGCTACTCAACTTTAGAGCCTGAAAGTAGCCACAGCCAATCAGTAAACAAATCTGTGATTAAAGAAAAACTTTATTTATGGACATTATCATTTGAATTTCGTATATTTTTTACAACACAAAATATCCTTTAGATTTTATCAACTAAACATTTAAAAACCACTCTTATCTCGAGCCATTGAAAAATAAAGAGTAAAGCGGAAACCAGTTTGGCTCAGTGGATAGAGTGGCGGCTTGCGGACTGAAGTGTCCAGGTTCGATTCTGGTCAAGGGCATGTACCTTGGTTGCGGGCACATCCCCAGTGGGGGGGGTGTGCAGAGGGCAGCTGATCAATGTTTCTGTCATTAATGTTTTTAACTCTCTATTCCTCTCCCTTCCTTTCTGTAAAAAATCAATAATATATATATATATATATATATATATATATATATATGAAAAATAGGGAGTGAAATCAATAAAAATATATTTAAAAAAGGAAAAATAGTGAGATGGCCTGCCCACTGGCATAGAGCACTGCTTTGGCCTCCTGGCCACTTTCTCTCTTTCTTATTCTAATATTCCCCAGCACAATACCCAGAGTGTTCTTTAGAAAACATTTATTTGATTATGATACCGTCTTATTTTTAAAAAATATATTTTATTGATTTTTTACAGAGAGGAAGAGAGAGGGATAGAGAGTTAGAAACATCAATCAGCTGCCTCTTGCACACCCCCTACTGGAGATGTGCCCGCAACCAAGGTACGTGCCCCCAACCGGAATCGAACCTGGGACCTTACAGTCCGCAGCCCGACACTCTATCCACTGAGCCAAACCAGTTTCGGCGACACTGTCTTATTTAAAAATCTATCAAAATTCCTTAATATGGTTTATAGGACCGCCTAGGACTTCTCTAAATTTGCCTCCCACTCTTTCACATTCCTTGTCCTACCTTCCAAGTGATCATTTAGCCATTGTTTCCTTTGGATTATCACTTATTTCCCTCTACTTGTAACACTCTGCCTTTCTCCCTTCTTTTCCTTTGCCTGCTTACCTGTTTATCCTTTAGGACTTGTCTCAAATGTCACTAAGTTAAGAGACCCTCCAATCCTAACACTTCTTAAACAAAGATTTAATACTATTAAATCTCCACAGCCAGACTATGAGTTCCTTCAGCAACTAGCACAGTGGTCAGCAAACTCGTACTAACAGAGCCAAATATCAACAGTACAACGATTAAAATTTCTTTTGAGAGCCAAAAACCGACTTCTGCGCATGGGCCACAAAGCTTCATTCGCACTGTACATGTGTGGCCACATGTGGTATTGTGTGGAAGAGCCACACTCAAGGGGCCAAAGAGCCACGGTTTGCCAACCACTGATCTAGCAAAATACCTGAGACCGAGTATCTTAATAAATTTGTTAAATGAATGAGATAGTGTAGAAAGTGGATTAGAGAATGAGGTACTGGCAGCAGAGGTCATCTGCAGCTGTGCCAATATTCCAGATGAAAAAGGCTTGCAGCAACAACGCGTGTGGAGAAAAGTAGGTGGATTCTAGAGTTGCTATTCCTCTATTTCAGCTCTAGGTGACCTCTGACTGCAAAAATTTTCCTCAAAAGGCAGTTCTGCCAACGCTGAGGACATTTAAAGGCGTGCCCTATAGGCTTGCGTGTTCCCAAAGTGCAGTTACAAAGACAGAACGATGGCAGGAGCGCTTCTGAGAATAAGTGAACCTTCCCTAAAGAACAGGGTTGAAGAGACGGGTTCTCAAGCAGAAATACATTTGTCTTTAAAATGTAACTTAACAGTACCATTACATACTCATCCAATCACTTCACTAAGCTCTCTCATGACCAGTGGACATAAAGATGTGCTATTTCCTACTAGTTTTCCTTTAGGAAATAGCCTCTTCACTGCAGACGTGGCTCTGAAGCACTGGATGACATACCACTGATGCCAAAGTGCATCTCCTATTCCTGGGTGGACTCCGCTCTAGAGTTCTGCTAGACCCCCTCCCACCCCAATGTCCACACTGCCCAGCATAGTGATCAGACAACTCCAGTGCCTACCTTTAAGAGACGTGAAAGGCAAGAAAAGGGGTTCATTCCAAGAGTCTCCTTTGCAAAATAACTTACACCTTTCCCCCATCTCTTACAGATTCTGGCCCAAGACACAGTTCCCTCTTCCTAGAAAGCCCTCTCCACCCTCATCTCCTAGCTAATTAGTCTGTCAATACTTACCTCTAATGTTATCTCTTTCACCCCCCTCCCCCCCATCCCTATCTCTCCACTCCGCTCCCATTAGCATCTGGTACAGACCATTATCATTCATGCAACAAATGTTTATTGAGCACTTACTAGGTACTAGGTGCTGGGGACACAGCTGTAAACAAAACAAGTATTGACCAAATTTCCTGCCCACATAAGAGGTCACATTCTAATAGCACATTGTATCAAAACTGTGCCCACCTCTTGTCACAAGCATGGAACACATCTTACACATCACTGCAGCTCCAGTGCTTAGGGTAGTAGACTCTGGCCCAGAATGCAGGTACCAGGTATAACTTACCTGAACGACCCATCACAAGAACATTAGCTCAGGGTCCCAGCTGATCGTTCTCCTTCCTATCTCTTTATAATCTACCCTATATAGTCACGTGGCCAGGTTCTTTCTTCACTGTGCCCCCTGGACCCTGTTTACTTAGCCGTAGAGTTGTGAATATCTCTACTCTAGCTTCCTTGTCCTGCCAATACGCTGACCTGGCACGTTTAACCAGGTTCTATTGTCACAGAGTTCAGCTCTCTGTTGCTGCCAGTAGTTATGAGTCATCCTATCCAAGTTAGGAGAAAGTAGAAAAGGGAGGACATAGACATTGCCTCATGAAAGGAACATCAGGGAACTCTTTATCTCGTGAACATTATACTGTGGGAACTTTTTATATTGGGTTGTTTCTTTTTAAAACTTAACATTTGCAGGCTTGTTGCCGACAAGTAACCTTCATATCCACGATCTTACTTGACCCTTTCAACAATGCTATGAAGTAGATAGGTATTATCATCCCCATTTTATAGGGATAATACTTCTCAAGACCTGAACTTTTTTTTTTTTTTTAATAAATGATCCAAAGTTCAAATCAAGATTAATGACTAAATTATTCCCACTTTATCATGATCAAGATACATTCTTCCCAATGGTCTGTCATCCAAAAGTATCCGTTAGTGATCCTCTTCCCACAGGCTTCGGAACTACCAAACTAAACCTACTACTGGGAACACCCTTGGAACACATTGGGGCTTGCCTTCTTTGCTCAGTCAGCTTGGATTTAAGGGGGAATGCTATAAGTGCTTTAAAGTTGAGGCATCAACTATATATAGCAAGGGTGTGGCTCTGGCCCACATTGGCCTTGAAGCTGGAGAACCAGGTCCACACTGGCCTAAAGCTAAGTTGTGAGGAGATGGGGCTATCATTACAACAACACACATACTAAAACAAGAAGAAAAAAAACCCAGAACAAAACAAAAAACAACAACTTTATTTACAGTTGAAAAACATGGAAAATCCTGGGTTCTGAAGTGTGATACTTCCAAGGTTTCTTGATCAAACAGGACAACAGCAGGCCAGGAAGCAAACACAGGGGCCGATCCAGATTCTCCTACTCATGAGCGTCACCCAGAGCAAGGGCAGGCCTACACTGGCAGATACATGGAGGTCTGTAAGGGATGGAAGAGGTTAGCAGCTCAGAGGACTGGAAGGGGACTTTCCATGAGACAGCATTCCCACCAATTCTCTACACTCCTGACCCTCTTTGCAAAAGTGTAGAACCGGTCTGATTCTTGCCATAGGCCAGACCTTTGGTTCTCCAGAGCAAAGATGAAAGTAATAAAAAGTATATTACACAAGAACCAAGAAGAAGCCAACATATACTGCCAAGTATATTATCTCATTATGTACCCTTTACAACTCTGTGCAATATACATTATAAATTAAGGAAAGAAGAAAACTAGGGTCCCAAGCAGCTCAATGGCTCGACAGTGATGGGGCTTCCTGATGAACTGGTACCAAAGCACGTGTCTTTTGCCAGGCCTGTAGCACTCTGTGGAGTTGTAGAACAAACAGCAATCCTCCTTCCTTGTGGGTTTTGATCCCAGGGTTATACAGAAAGGAAATTGTACTCCCTCTGTTTACAGCCTTTTAGTTAGTTATACTAAAAGAACAGGGTGAGTTCACTCTGACACTACTCTCCTCTCTCTCCAAATGTGGCCGCCCCCCCCTTCCCCCCCTCCAGAGGACAGGGAGTCCTGCTGTCATACTGCAGGCTCAATGAGTAAGTAGTTTAACTATGGGCCCTAATGCAGAATGTACACAAATGTATAAATGCACTTAGAAGTTGCATTGTGCTCCAGGACCCAAGCTCTATCATAGACCAGGCACTGTGTCAATCAGCATGGTCCATGCCTCAAGGAGTTCTCAGTCTAGAGAAAAACCAAACACATTTGTGTTAAATGTTGTAATAGAGAGATGAACCAAGTACTAGGAGCTCACAGGAAGGGATCACTGACTGCCTAGGTCAGGGAAAAGGAGATGGAGGGACCAGGGAACGATTCAAACTGATGTTAGTCACATGCACCTGGGGAGGGGGCGGGAGGAAGTAGGATTAGTTAAATCACATATATACAGTATTTATTATAAGATATATGCTTAATATAGGAAATTCAAGCATATTCAGGACAATATAAATTTAAAAAATCTCTTTGCTATCTCTACAGAGGTAACCATTACTAATTGGCTACATATCACTATAGAAATTTCTGAAATAGTTATTCAAAATAAATAGTAGTATGGTTTATATAATATACTACTTCTTTTTAAAAAATATTTTATTGATTTTTTTACAGAGAGCAAGGGTAAGAGAGAGAGTTAGAAATATCGATGAGAAACATCGACCAGCTGCCTCCTGCACATCCCCCTTGGGGATGTGCCTGCAACCAAGGTAAATGTCCTTGACCAGAATCAAACCTGGGACCCTTCAGTCCGCAGATCGATGCTCTATCCACTGAGTACTATTTCTTGATGTTGTCACATAATTTACCTTAGAAATCTTGCCAACACATTCAGATTTACCACTACCTGGTTCCAACATAGGGAGCTTTGCTTCTGTATAGTCGTTCACCACACATGTCAGTCAACAATGGACAGTGTGCATGATGGCAGTCCCATAAGATTCTAACAGAGCCGAAACCGGTTTGGCTCAGTGGATAGAGCGTTGGCCTGCGAACTGAAGGGTCCCAGGTTCAATTCTGGGCAAGTTGCGGGCACATCCCCAGTGGGGGGTGTGCAGGAGGCAGCTGATCAATGTTCCTCTCTCATCGATGCTTCTAACTCTCTGTCCCTCTCCCTTCCTCTCTGTAAAAAAAAAAATCAATAAAAATATATTTTTTAAAAAAAAGATTCTAACAGAGCTGAAAAATTCCTATGTCTAGTGATGTCATAGCCACTATAACTATGTAGTGCAAAGCATGACGTGTTGCTGCTGCTGGTGTGAACAAATGTATCACACTGCCATCTGAAAGTACAGCACATACAATGATATACAGTGATAACAACAATAAATGACTATGGTTTATGTATTTTCTATACTGTATGTAATTTCATTGCTATTTTAGAGTGTACTCCACTTAGGAAAGTTTTCTGTAAAACAGTGTGCTGTGCTTCACCAGCAGCATCTCATGCTTACCACATCTCCTGATTGCATCATTCTCTGTGCCTGATTTAATCTCATGTTGTGTTAGAGATTTAGTGTAGCCTACGTGTGGAGCGTTTGTGAAGTCTACAGTAGTGCACAGTAATGTCTTAGGCCGTCACGTGCAGCACACTCACTCATTGGCTCACCCAGAGCAACTTCCTGTCCTGCAAGCGCCACTCATGGTCAGTGCCCTATACAGTGGTACCGTTTTTAATCTTTTACACCATATTTTTACTATGCCTTTTCTATGCTTAGATATGTTTGGTACACAAATACTTATCATTGTCTTACAATTGCCTGTAGCATTCAGCACAATAACATGCTGTTCAGGTTCTCAGTCAAGAGCAATGGGCTATACAGCCTACGTGCATAGTAGATGTTACCACCTAGGATTGTGTAAGTGCACTCTGTGATATTTGAAGAAAAGAATTGCCTAATGGCACATTTCTTATGTATCTTTGTTGTTAAGCAGCCTGGATTGCCTTGGAATGGAGCCAGATATTCTCCTCTCCCCTCCCTTTTTAGCTGGCAGGGTTTCTGACTTTCAGGGCAGGGGACAAACAGTGTCACACACCCAGCAGGAACACAAATATTTGTTGCAAATCTCTAGTACTTCCAAGACCTGTATTTTCATGCGGAACCTCCTCTCTCTTGCCTGGACTACAGCAGTGGATACCTCACTGCCCTCTATTCCATCCCCCACATTGCTGCCAGAATCAACTTCTAACTAAGAAAATGCAATCACAATGTTCTGCTCAAAATCCTTTAGTGGCTCCCATTGATTTGGTAAGTTAGGCCCCCTTCTGAGAATTTCAGGAGCACAATGGAAAAAAAAAAAAAAAAAAAAAAAAAAAAAAAAGCAGCACATAATGCCTGAAGCCCATCCCCACCCTTAGGATAACATATGAACTCTCAGCCTACACTGGTTCTCACAACTGGCCCTGGTCTCTGCCAACTTCACCTCTTAGTGTTTGCTTTTGCTTTTCCTTTCTTCCTGCTTTGGCCATACAGAGTTTGCAGTCTCCCACACACTTTCTGCTGTTCCCTGCTCCTGTGCTTTGCTCATGCTGTTCCTCTGCTTGGAATGCCCTCCCCAGTTCCAGCCACCTGACAGGTTCTTAATCTTTCTTATGCTCAGGGGAAGCATTACCTCTTCTGCAGTCTTCACAACCATGCCAGGCAGACCCAGACATTCACACTTTCCTCACTTTGTCCTAAAGTCTCCAGTCCAGTGCTTTATTGTATTAGAGCTGTCAGTTTCCCAAGACACTGTGAGTTCCCTGAAGGCAGGAGCTGGGCTTTTCAAATTTGTACCTTATATGTAGTATGGGACCTATCTTTTTTGAAAACTTTGTTTTCCAATTATAGTTGACGAACAATATTAGCTCCAGGTATATGGCGTAATGATTATACATTAACATCCCTTAGGAAGTGATCACCCAGTATGCGATCTATTTAATTAATTAGTACTGATTTGTACAATGAAGGACCAGCGAATGTGCCATCAACATGTCTTTCATAACCTTTCTCTGAAGGCATGTATCACATCTACAGGATATCTCAGAGTGGGGGACAGTGTTTCCTAAATCTCAATTATTCCAAATAGCACTTTCACAACTATTACCATATCCACTATCCACAGGTACAATTAATTTCCAACCTAATCACTATTTGAACTTCAATGCCTCATTATAAGCTATAATAATAATAAAATTCTAGAGGCCCGGTGCACAAAACTCGTGCGGGGGGGGGGGGGGGAGAGGCGGGGAGGCGGAGGATCCCCTCAGCCCAGTCTGTATCCTCTCCAATTCAGGATCCCTTGGGGGCAGTTGGACTTCCCTCTCACAATCCTGGACCGCTGGATCCTAATTGCTTACCTACCTGCCAGCCTGGTAACCCACAAATGCCCCCTTCTGCTGGCTTGGTCACCCCCAACTATCCCCCTGCTGGCCTAGTTGCCCCTCACTGCCCCCCCCCCCACTCCAGCCTAGTAGCCTCCAACTGCCCCACCTGCCAGCCCCAGCTTTCCCCCCTGCCAGCCTGGTAGCCCCTCAACCCTTCCCCCCTGCGCCCCCGCCCTGCAGCCTGTTGTTCAGTCATTCGTTATCCCTCACTAACCCCCTTGCTGGCCTGGTCATAGGCAGCCACCTTGTGAGGGCTTGAGGGTTAATTTGCATATTATCTCTTTATTATATAGAATATGTGGTGCTAATTATCTATTTTTAAAAAAATACATTTTATTGATTTTTTACAGAGAGGGAGAGAAACAGAGAGTTAGAAACATCGATGAGAGAGAGTCATTGATCAGCTGCCTCTTGCACGCCCCCTACCGGGGATGTGCCCGCAACCAAGATACATGCCCTTGACCGGAATTGAACCCAGGCTCTTCAGTCCGCAGGCTGATGCTCTATTCACTGAGCCAAACCGGTTTCGGCTAATTATCTATTTTTTACTCAGATGCAAATATTAAAAAACATTAATTCCAGCACCACTGAAAGCAGCATTACCCACATCCCTCTAAGAAGAAGCATTTGAAATGCTCTTTATAAGCATAGCATCCTGGGTCCCATCTTAAACTAACTCAAACTCTCCAGGGGGAGGGCCTGGGAATTAATAGGTTTTTCAAATGCCCCCAAGTGATTCTTCTCTTTAGGGGAGTTTGGGAAACAACGAAGTAAAGTAAGTTCTCTACTGCTTGCCACAAATACCAACTTTGGGGATCACAGGGAGACAAGCAGCAGTTCAGACGGCAAGATTGCCAGAACCAACAGCTACTCCCTTTTCCAAGCGACTCTCAGGCTTTCAAAACAGAGGTTCCACCAGCTCCTATGAAAGTAGAATAGTTTGGACTATGAGAGGAGAATCATGAGGGCCATGATTCACCTATGTATCTATGTATCAAATTGGTTATAAAAAGCTTACAGGACCACAAGATAAAACCAAGGTTTCTACATCTAAAGCTGTACAGAAAACTTCACTTTCACTAAAATCAAACTCAGATTCCAAGGCAAAATACAAGAGAGATCTAAAACAAAGTGTTTCAGAAGCAACTAATGAGTGCATAAATAAATGGAACAACAAATTGATGTTTCTCTCTGTCTCTCTTTCTGTCTGCCTCTTTCTCTCTGTCTCAATAAATAAATAAAAAAGTAAAAAATTATTCAGATGCAATAAATAAATGGATAGGTAGATTGGTAGATGGATAGATATATAGATAAATAAATAAATACGTAAGTAAAAGAAAGTATTTCAGCTCAGTTAGTTAGAGCATCTTCCTGATATACCAAGGTTGTGGTTTTGATCCTGGGTCAGACCACATACGACAGTCAATCAATGAGTGTACAGGTGAGCAGAGCAACAAATCGACATTTTTCTTTCTTCATCTCTCTAAAAAATCAATTAAAAAATCTTATAAAAGATTAAATAAAATTAAAAAGTAAGTCGATCAGTCACATTAGCACATTTCAAGTGTTCCATTCCATATGCGGCTGGAAGCTACCGTAACAGTAAAAATGGAAAACATTTCCCCCACCAAAGAAAGGAATGTCTCCTGGACAATACTGGTCGAGCGCGCCTCTGGAACAGCAAATCACCCCGTGGGATCCGTTCTGCTTGGGTTGCAGGCTGAGAAGAGGGGCTTTCTGGGGCAAAGGCTTACATGATCTTTGCTCATAGTGGGTGAGGAGGGGAGGGTTGATGATCACCGCCCTCAGAAATAAAACTCCCAACAAGGATTTCTACTAACTTTCTATAAGAGACTCAAAAAATATAGAAAAGAGGCCCCAAACATAAAAAATTTCTAAACTTTATTCTTTTTATCTTCTGTCCTCTGGTAGTGATCAGTGGTCAGTCTTTGGAAGGATAAGGACCTCTGTGTTCAACTTTAGTTACAGCAAAGAAATGAAGGAGGAAATGGCCAGCAGCTATTTAAGGGGAATACAGGTTGTGCCCTAGGGGCCCCCAGTCCTGGCAGAAAGGAAAGCTCAGGTGACAACTGGGCAGAGAGGGGACCATCTGGCTGGGTGACAGAGAAGTCCATGTGCAGCTTCCAGCACACACTTGTGCATTCCTGCCTCAGCATTTGCTTACACCAGTTCCCTACCCGAAATGCCTGACATTCTCTGACCCTATTAACTCACGTAACAGCATTTTACTGGATGCCTGTAAGTACTATCAATACATACTGTGAACACAAAGTCATAGATAGAGATAGAAACAGTCATTAAAGTGGTCTGGAATTTGACTAGATCCCCATTTTGGAAAAAGGCAGGATTCAGAAAAATAAATTCTAGATAATTTTGTTGGTAATACAAATAGAACTAAAGAAATGTTAGAAAAAATACAGAAGACATTAGGATCTGAGGTAATAAGGACCTTCTTAAATAAGATAAAACCCAAAAGCCATAAGGGAAAGACTGATAATTTGACCTCATCAAAATTTAGAACTTCTGTTTAACAAAGGATATAACCAAAGTTAAGATAAGCAACACACTGACAATTTTTTTCCTTAAAATATATTCTGGAGAAAATAGTCACAACATATAAAGAACTAATACTCGAAATGAATTACTTTCAAATCATTAAGAAAGAGGAAAAGTAAACTATAGCTACAACCATCTTTTCGAATATTATGTCAGTTTTGTTTTTTTAAATGAAGTAGTTTTACTTGAACAGAGGAAGTCTTCAGACATAATGCCAAATGGGAAAATAATGATGAACAATATAGCATGATGCCATTTTAGAAAAACAAAATCTCCCATAATCAGATAGGCGGAGAAAAGGCCCTGACGGATATATATCAAACTGACAAGAAGTTACCTCTGGGAGAGGAGTGGGCCTGGTAGTAACAAGGGGAGTTGGGGACTTTAACTTCTGTGTGAAAATTTTTACAAGATTATATAATGCTACATAACAACCAACCAAATGAAATATGTGAACTTGATTGGTTGAATTTTCCTACAGGTATAAAAGTTACATTGTGAGTAACAGGGAGAGTCTGAACAGGTATATTAGATATTATTATGGTTATGTAGAATGTTCTTGTTTCCAGCAATTGCTTACTGAAGTATTTATGGGTAAAGTGTCCAGAAGTCTTCAATTTTCAAATGGGGAGAAATGAAGGAAGGAAAGCAGCAGAGAGGAGGAGATGGAATGGGGATATGAGGGAAGGAGAGAGGGAAAGAAAAAAATCAAATGTCAAAGCAAAACGATAAAATAAGAATGTTAATCATGGATGAATTTAGGTGAAAGGTATATGAATGTTGAATGTATAATACTATTTTTCCAGCTTTGCTGCAGGTTTGAAAATGAAAGAAAGAAAGAGAGAAAGAGGAAAATGAAAGAGAGAGAGAGAGAAAGAGAGAGAGATATCCTACCATTTTAGCTGAAAGGGATCAATTTTTGCTTTGAATTCTTGACATTTAGCAATGTCACTCATATTACTAGTGATCACCTCTCAGAATGGGTCTTATTCCCTGTAAGCTCCTGAAAGGTAGAGGCATCTTTCAATTCTTTGCACCCCTCTGCATGCCTAGCATGATGCTAGCACAGAGCCGGCAGTGCAAGAATGGGTAGGAGTTGAGGTTGAGAGATGTGTCATGTTTACCTGTGAAGCTGGCAAATACAAAGTCAGGACCTGAATTGCCCATCAGTTCTGATGAGAAGCATGACAGGTCTACCTCCTGGGCACTTAGGCTGACACAGCAGGGAGTCACTCAGAGCTGGTGTCAGATCTTCTAGTAGGACTACAGTCTGAGAACACGATCAGAAACTGCCTTATGGCTTCTAGTTTGATAGTTTGTAAACTGCAAAGTGGTAGAAAAGGAAAGTGTTCTAATAACCCTTTCTCTTTTGTCCTTCCAGTGATCATAGGAGAGGTATTATCTCCATTTGACAGATGAGGAAACAGGCTCAGAGAAGGGAAGTGACTTCACCCAGAGAGGAAATGAGCTCAATCCTCTGTCTTCAAGTCTAAGGTTCTCTCTGTTAGACCAAACTGCCCTCTCTGGGGTGACTCCAAACCAGGAAGAGAAAGACACACTTACCGATTCCGTCTTGCTCTGGATTACATCTCCCCACACTGTGAGATCACCACAGGCAACTTGGGCTTATTGTTGGGGCCTGTGGGAACATTCTAAGACAGAAAGCACAGTGGAGATTCAGACACTCGCCAAACATTTGCTGATGTCTGCCAGCCCCTGTGCTAAGGACTGAGGGCTCAGAGACTGACACGACAACAGTCCATGTCCTAACAGATAGGTAAAGCATATAATACAGATAAAAAATAAAACTGTACATTTAAACTATATCAAGTCTATGATATGTAATAAGTTATAAGAAAGTGTATACAGGGCAGAGGAAGCAATTAAATGTTGTTTAAAGAGGTCAGGGGAGGATTCACAGAACAGGGGGTTATTTGACCTGGACCAAGACGGATCAATGGGAAGGAGGAAAAGAAAGGAGAAGAGTATTCTAGGTAAAGGAAACAGCATGAGCAAAGGCTCAGGGGCAAGAAGGAAAAGGAGACAGGGATGTTTGGCACATTTAGAGGAAAGCTCAAGTAGCCTAATGTGACTGGAACATGGAGGTGGCAGTGGCAGAAGGGCCATGGAGAGAGGCAGGGACGAGGTCAGGAGGGATCTTGAATGCAGTGCCGAGTATGATTTTATCAGGTAAGTGAAGGGGCCACCACAGCCCAAATCGCAAGTGCAATAAAGAGGCTAATTATAGGCCAAAAGCACTTGGGAGGCATGTAGCTTCTCCTCCCTTCCCTTGAGGAAGTCCATGTAATAGAGGCAGTGGATGAAGACTGGGCCTAACAAGCTGAAGTCACTCAGGATTCTCTAGTTCTTGATACTAGTCAGGTAATAGTAGACCAGAATGGCTGAGGAAGAGGAACCAAAACAGGACTTACCTCAATCTTTCTCATCACTAGAAGTCCATCAATGATTTTTCCTGTAGGAAGAGTATGAACTGGGTTTTACTATTCTCATTTGCATAGCATTTTCCAGTTTCCAATGCCCCTTCTCACACTACTGTCTCATTTGATCCCCATACCGATTTTAGGAAATTGAGATTCAATGGAGGTGAAATGACTTACCCAAAGTCACAGATAGTAAGCAGCAGAATTAGGGTTCAAACTTAGATCTGAGTGATTGCAAAGCTCCACTGCACCATGCTGCTTGTGTATTTCTTAAATATCACCCAAGTGGCTATACACTTTATCAGGTGGCCCTTTGTCCTTTCACACATCCTCTCACCTTCCGCTTCCACTTCCACTTTCCCTATTACTGCATAGGGAGCAGTTAAACAAGTCAAGACCTCTGGGTATGAGAGTGCGGGGACTGGCTCTTTTGAAAGTCCCACTTTGGGTGAAGCAGCCCAGGACCATAAGACAGGAGTAGCACTCACCAAACACTACGTGCTTCCCATCCAGCCAATCGCACTTAGAGCAGGTGATGAAGAACTGGCAGCCGTTTGTACTGGGACCGCTGTTTGCCTGATGGAAACCAAACATACTTGCCAAACGTGCTAGCTGAAGGGCAAGATTCCCCAAAGAGCCTGGTGCACGAAATTTGTGCATGGGAGGGGTCCCTTCAGACCCGCCTGCACCCTCTCGCAATCCGGGACCACTGGCTCCTAACAACTGGCCTGCCTACCTGATCACCCCTAACCAATCACCAGCCTGCCTGATCGCCCCTAACCCCTCTGCCTGTGTGTTGAGTAAGTATCGCCCTTAATTGCTTGCCTGCCTGCCTGATTGCCCCTAACTGCCTCTGTCTCAGCCCCTGTGCCTTCATTTGGAAGGATGTCTGGAATGACATTTGGAAGGTTGTTTGACTGTCTAGTCTAGTTAGCATATTATGCTTTTATTATTATAGACTAGAGACCTGATGCACGAAAATTCATGCAAGAGTAGGCCTTCCTTCCCCTGGCTGCCAGCACCGGCTTCCCTCTGGCATCTGGGACCTGGGCTGGCTTCCCTCAGGCCACCTGCAGGCACCCAGGACCCGGGCTGGCATCCCTCCGGCCCAGGCTTCATCAGGAAGGACATCTGATCTAATAAACGTATTACCTTTTTATTATTATAGATAACACATTATAAAGGGACATTAGACAGTCATATGAAGTGTACTTTTGTCCATTATATACTGATCCCCCTCTAAAATGCCTTTAATATGCTAAATTCAAATTTTTGTATTATCAGCAAAACCAAGTTTAGTTTTAGCAGCATTGTCTTACAACAGTGTCTGTGTAACTATGAATATATTATCACATACTTCCCTTATTTTGGAAAAAAAATTAATAGAAAATGGAAAACTGAAAGTACTAGTACTATTAAAAGCATAGGTCTCATAAAACTACTACTGCCAAACCAGCTGGCTCAGTGGTTGAGCTTTTACCTATGAACTAGAAGGTCATGGTTTGATTCCCAGTCAGGGCATATGTCCAGGTTTTGGGCTCGATTCCAGTGTGCGGCATGCAGGAGGCAGCAAATCAATTATTCTCTCTCGTCATTGATGTTTCTCTCTCTCTCTCTCTCTCTCTCTGGAATCAATTACACACACACACACACACACACACACACACACAAAACTACTGTGCAAAAAACTGCACATTATTAGATAGATAACTAGACTTAATCAGATATTCAACTTAAATTGGTTAATTCTATATTCAACTGTAAAGGAATAAAAATGTTTATGAAATAGTAAAAATACATTAAAGACATTGTCTAAGGGTAATCTCTAAATAGGGATTTGATATTACACTTTAGAAATTCCCCATGTAAGATGAGGTTACTTTAGTTTTTTTGTACATGTATTCAGAAACATCTCATCTGAAAATAAGGCACTATCTGAGCCAGTCAGAGGGATGAGGGACAGGCTTCCCAGGGGTCTGGAATCATTCTTTTGTTCTATCTACTATACTTATCTATTTATCTACCATCCATCCATCCGATCAATTTTGCTGCTCTATGTCTAAACATTTATTAGCAAGCAGGCAGGCAGACAGTCATATAACATGTTTTTATAGCTCAGGGGACACTCTCTGCCTGTAACCATTTCTTTATTCATTCTTCAAGGCAGTATAACTAATTGGTTTAGAGAATCAGCTCTGTCTGGAACCCTGGAATCAAATGACCTTGCTTGAATCCCAGCTCTACCCCCGACTGTGACTTAGTTTAATCATATAATATCTCTGTGCCTCAGTTTCTTCATTTGTACCTATCTTAGAGATGTTGAGAAGATTAAAATAAATTAATGCAATTAAGATGCTTGTTGAGTAAGTGCTCAATAAACATTAGTCATTATTCTGGTTATCTTCCACTCACTAATTAAAATCTGCTCAACACCTTTCTGTATCAGGTATAAGGCTTAGAGACCAATGAGACCCAGGCCTTGCCCTTGAGAAACTCAGGAGTTAGTGGAAGAGAGAAGCAAAAACAATTATGCTACAAGATATGTGGCAGGCCCTGGCCAGTGTGGCTTAGTTGGAACATCGTCCTGCACACGGAAAGATCCCAGGTTCGATTCCTGGTCAGACACATACCCAGGTTGCAGTCCGGGCACATAGTGGGAAACAACCGATGGATGTTTCTCTCTCACATCAATGTTTTTCTCTCTCAAAACCAATGAATATATTCTTGGGTGAGGATTTTTTAATAAATGTGGCAGCACAACTAAACCAATGTAAGCCTGAAGGGTGCATAGACCAGGACTTCCTTCCATTTTCCTGACTCTTCCATCGATGCTAACATAGTGGCATGCACTTAGAGGGGTTCTAATCCTAGGGAAGATCCAAGACACTTTTCTACTCCTTACCTGCACTTGCCCAGCCTGGCTTTCCTAAAAGGGGGCTTGTTTGCTGTGCTAGTCTCCCTCAGCTCCTGACTGGCTTCTCTGCCCCAGCCTCTCCATTCCCACCTGCCACTCACACTGCAGCTAGGGTTTTTGATCTAAAACACAAAGTTGATCTGCTCTCCTCAAAAAAGTGCATGGCTCTCCATAACCTATGAAAGAAAAGTCCACACACCTCATCCTTATTCTGCCACTTGAAGCCCATCAAGAGCCAGGTAACCTGCCTCTGCAGTGGTCTCTACTGGCCACTGTGTCCATCATTCGCATCCTGTTTTCAGCACCTTCCTCACTTTCTGTCCCTCGACTATGTCTCATGTCATCTGGTACAGAACTCTTTCAAGAACGCAAATGTCCCCTCCTCTGTGAAGCAGCCTTGCCCAACCCCCAGCAGCAATTATTCTCATTCCTTGAGGCTCTCATGGGATTTTTTTCTTTCTTTTCTTTCTTTTTTTTAAGAATATATACTTTATTGATTTTTTGACAGAGAGGAAGGGAGAGGGATAGAGAGTTAGAAACATCAATCAGCTGCCTCTTGAACACTCCCCACTGGGGATGTGCCCGCAACCAAGGTACATGCCCTTGACTGGAATCGAACCTGGGACCCTTCAGTCCGCAGCCTGACGCTCTATTCACTGAGCCAAACCAGTTAGGGCTCTCACATGCAGTAAAGTGCCCTTGCCTTAATACACTGATGGAATGGGTTACACTATACTAGACTTATCATTTTGCATGTGTGGAGCCATTAGATGTTAAGTGACACAAAGGCAGGGATCAGATCTTATGCCTTACCATGAAGCCTGAAACAGAGTGGATATTGACAAATCTTTACTTGATGAATGCCTGAGCAGATGAGTGGCAGAGCAGGCACACAGGACACAGAATGTGCATGTAAATATTGGGTCTAGGGGATTAAGAGTTGGGACACTGACAGAGGGAAATGGGTAATGAGCAGGGAGGAGGGAGAAGAGAGTGTGAGAGAAACAAAGTGGGAGGGGTAAGGGAAAAGGAGGAGTGAAAGGTGAATAAGAGGAAATGAAGGGGGAATGAGGATGAAGGAGAGTAAGCGGGGTAGAGCACAGGTGGGGTTTCAAGTGAGGTGGGCAGGGGCACTATGAAAGTGGAGTGACGTATGTGGGGAGGGAATGCAAGGACAAGGGAGGAGTGGTGAGCAAGGAGAGGTAAGTGATGAAAGGGAGTGACCAGCTAGTAGGCAGTGTGAGTGACCGGCAATGAGTCTTGGCAAGCCAAGCAATGAGCGAATGAACATTGGATCTTGAAAGCAAAACTGGGTGCATTCTGAGCAGCAAGGCTAAATGTCCAGCCACATGTTTTGACTCAAATAAAAGGCCATGTAGCTCAGTTGGTTGAGCAATAACCCATGCACCAAGAAGTTGCCAGTTCAATTCTGGGTCAGGGCACATGCTCAGGTTGTAGGCTTGATCCCCATTGGGAGTCATACAGGAGGCAGCTGATCAATGCTTCTCTCTCATCAATGTTTCTCTTTCTCTCTCTCTCCCTCCCTCTCTTTCTGGAATTCAATAAAAACATTTTTTAAAAAGGACAGAAACACATAGCAGAGTTCAGTTTCATTTTCCCAGCCCAACAAAATCAAACCAGATTGATGAAAAAAGTAGGCACGGCAGAGGTAAACCTTGGAATGAGCAAGAAAAGCATTTGCTTCCATTTTTTAAACATTTTTTTTTTTTAAGTTTTCTTTCTTTTTTACTTTTTAAAAAATATACTTTATCGATTTTTTACAGAGAGGAAGGTAGAGGGACAGAGAGCTAGAAACGTCAATGAGAGAGAAACATCGTCCAGCTGCCTCTTGCACACCCTCCACTGGGGATGTGCCCGCAACCAAGGTACATGCCCTTGACCGGAATCGAACCTGGGACCTTTCAGTCCGCAGACTGATGCTCTATCCACTGAGCCAAACCGGTTTTGGCAGCATTTGCTTCCATTTAAAGACACAGCACTGAGCCTCAAGAGGGGCCCAGAAACCAGCTGGCTATAAATATAACCCAAAATCTTGACTGGGTCTCACTTACCATGGAAAGCAGGCCTGGAGCTGAGTGTCTAAGTTTAAAATTTTCATCTGCAAATGGCCCCCGGTAAATGCTGGCAACTCCAGTACCATCTCCCTGAGCAAACAGAAGGGAAGTGTTAGCAACTTGTAAGTGCTGGGCCCCCAGAGGCTGGAAAAGACAACTGCTGCACATAAATCCTGGTGGACGTCCTTGAAGTCCACTCTCGTTGGCCACTTTGGGAGCCACACCTCTTTGTTCCTATCCTGCAATCAAAGCAAGCCCCTTTCAAGGCACCTACAGCCCACAAACTGGTCAGACTGTCTCACAGATTGGATAAAAGAGGTCACAACTGGGCCTCTAGAAATATACTCAGCCTTCTGGCTGACCAACTATTGTCTAATCCTGGGGCTCATCAGCAAGTGATCGGATGTGCCTAGCAATGATCAGTAAAAAGTTGGTCCTGTCCCTGCTAGGCCAATATGGCAATACAGGAGCCTATGGAAAGAAAGGAAAAAGGCAGAATAGCTTCATAGCACTTCTTACAGCTAACAAAAAAAGGTACATGGCCACTCTAAGTCCTACCACCGTCAGTAGTAGCCAAGGGTTGCAAACTTCATTGTTTGTGGAGCAGGTTACATAAATAAGGGAAGGGAGATGGTTCCTGCCGTAAACACAGTAGACCTAGCAATAACAAAAAAACAAAACAAGCGTATAAGTCCTTGATAGGAAAGAACAGTACTTACATTAACAAAATCTCCGCCCTGAATCATGAAATCCTTTATGACTCTGAAACAGAGAACAAAAGATTCTGAGCTAAGACTCAGGTTTAGAAAAACACCGAAAGGGAGAGGGATAGAGAGTTAGAAACTTAAAATCTTTAAAAAAAAAAAAAAAAAAAAAAGAAAAGAAAAATACTGACTTGGTCATTGTAATTGAAATTAATCCTTGAGTTCACAAATACACTGCTTCTCAACACCTAAGAATTATCCTACGGTTTTATTTTCTTCTAAAGAGACACATCCCCCAAGGAAGTAACCCCAAAAACTCCCGGGATGTCTGCCACGGGCCTTACCTGTGGAAAGTGCTTCCTTTGTATCCTATAGGAACCCCATCTTTTCTATAACCAAAAAGAAAGATTGGGAATGATGTCAGGTACCCATAGGCCTTTCCAGCTTACCACACATTTGAACCAAAGGGACTCTCCTAAAGATGGTGGGGACCAGACAGAGAAAGGCAAATGAACTGAAGACAGACCCGCGGGATATTACCTTCAATTACCGTCACCGGCAATCATTCAAGGCCTTCGTGGTTCCCCAACAATACCCTCACCACAGCCCCAGGACACCCCTCAGGAGCAAGCAGAGTAGTCAACCACGTCTGAGACTGACCTGAATTCCCCAGTGCAGAACTGCCTGAAAGGGAAAAAGAGTGAAGGGCTCAGTCACCATGACATGACAGCTGTGAGCGTCCCTCCCCTCCGGAGGGGAGAGCACAGACACTGTCACCGGCAAGCCCACCAATCAGCCTCCCAGACGTGCAGACCCCCAGGCATACAGATTAGCAACATAAACTGACATGGAGCCGTCAAAACGGAGACTGTCCAGGCAGAGCGCTACCCGGAGGACTCAGACCTACTCCGCAGGCTGGGTTCTGGTTCGGCTTATCAGGCGGCGCTGGAGTAGATCCTCACCTAAAGTTCTCCGCTGTCTTAGGCACAACGTCGGCAAAGAGTTCGATCTTCATTCGGCCAACTTCCTGCAACCGGCGGGATACAGTCAGAAAGCCCAGTCCAACCCGGGAAGGCCTCCTGGGGCCAGGGACCACCAAGGGCTGACCCCTCCCTCCCCCAGGCACCTGATCTCTCCGCCTCCTTTAGCTTATGTCTCCGTGCCGCCCAGACCTGCCACGAGCGGGGAGCTAGGAAGCGCAAGCCTCATCCTACCCCTCTCCCCACGCCCCGCAGTTCGGAAGGTTCTGGTACAAATTCACTGTCCGGCTTCCCGAGCCCGCTATCCCGAGGCGGGTGAGTTCTGCCTGCCTAGCCCGGTGCAGTTTCCTTTCGGCGAGGGGCTGGTGGCTCCCGGGGCCTCACCTGGCCGCCAATGCTGACATCGAAGAACACCACGGGGTTGACAGGGCTTGAATTTGCCACCGCCATCGCTCTGACCCGGAAGCAGAAGTCGGGAGCATGGGCTTCCGGCGAATCTAATCCTAGGACCGCGGGTTTGGTATCCCGCGCAAGCGCGGGAAGAGCCGCCGGCGGCGAGGCCCCGCCCCCCGGAGCCCCGCCCCCGGAGCCCCGCCCTCGCCGCGGAGGACGCACTCGTTTCCTCTCCGAAGCTGGGTGATGCTTTGGCGGCGTGACCGTGAGACTTCCACTATCTCTTAGTTCCCTTGACTCTCCAGAGACCAGAACGAGGAGCGGGGTGGGGAGAGGGGGACGCGGGTACCAATTAGGAGGTAAGAGGAGGAGGAATGCCTGGGCCTTTTTAAAAAAAATTTTTTTTAATTGATTTTTTACAGAGAGGGAGAGAGATAGAGAGCTAGAAACATCAATGAGAGAGAATCACCAATCAGCCGCCTCTTGCACACCCCCGCACTGGGAATGTGCGGCAACCAAGGCACATGCCCACGACCGGACTCCAACCCGGGACCCTTCAGTCTGCAGGCCGATGCTCTATCCACTGAGTCAAACCGGTTTCTGCAACCTGGGCTTTTTTTTTTTCCTCAAAGTGGGCATCCCACTCACCTGGCTGCAGATTATTCTCACTCAGGCCAGGGGAGTTTGGACTAGGCAGTCTGCAGGGTCCTTTCCAGCTCTGGCAGCTAAGATATCGGGCCCCATCACACGTGCTGCTTCTTACCTCCGCCCACTACTCTGTGGGCCCCAGGAAGGCAGGAACTCTGCTCATCCTCAGCACTGAGAACAGCCAGGCCAGCCAGGTGTGCAAATGCTCAGCCCTTCCTTGAAGTCAGAAAACTAGAATTTTTGTTCCCAGTTTTACCACAGCTTCCATTTTTGTCACTTCCAAATCATTTCAACCGGATTACTAGAGCTTTTAAAATAAGTCTGCTAAATCACTCCTGGCTTCCCGTATTTAGACTAAAATCCAATTCCTTACATACAAAGGCCTACATTAGATTATCTGGCTGCCACCAACTGGGCCTCCTTTAGTTTTACTTGCCCGCAGTTACTATGTTCTGGCCTTTCTGTTCCTCAAGGTCATGGGGTGGACACAGTCATTCCTGCTTATCTTGAGTTTTCACCTTTCAGTTATTTGCTGTCAACTACAGTCTGACAGTTGATCTGATAACCAAGATCCCTATTAAGTGACTAATGGTCAGGTAGTATATAAGTGTGAATCATAAATTAAAAAGAGTAAATGAGCCCTGCCTGGTTTGGTCAGTGGATAGAGCATTGGCCTGTGGACCGGGGGTCCCAGGTTCGACTCTGGTCAAGTGCACATGCTCAGATTGCAGGCTTGATCAATGATTCTCTCTCATCATTGATGTTTCTATCTCTTCCTCTCTCTTGCTCTTTGAAATCAATAAAAATATATTTTAAAAAATTTTAAATGAAGTTCCAGAAATAAGGAATTCATAAGGTTTTCTTTTGTTGTGGACTTTTTATTGTTTTTGGTTTTTTGGTTAATCCTCACACAATATTTTTTCCATTGATTTTTTTTTTTAAGAGAGAATGGAGGGAAGTAGGGAGGGAAAAGGGAGGAGGAGGAAGAGAGGGAGGGAGGGAGGGAGGGAGGAAGAGAGGAGAGAGAGAGAGAGAGAGAGAGAGAGAGAGAGAGAGAGAGAGAGAGAGAAACATTAATGTGAGGGAGACACATCAATTGGTTGATTCCCACACATGTACACATGTCCCAACCAGATTGAGCCTATAACCAAGCTACATGCCATTGACTGAGAATTGAACCTGTGACTTGTCAGTGCGCAGGCAGATGCTCTAAGTGAGCAAAATCCGCCAGGGCTTCATAAATTTTAAATTGCATGCTTGGATGTGAATCATCACTTTGTGCAGTGTATTCACCCTGTATATGTTACCAGCCTGTTAGTCATTTAGTAGGTGTCTTGGGTATCAGATCAACTGTCAGGGAATCCCAGTGTTTGTGTTCAAGCTATATTTCAAGGTATATGCCATTCACCCTACTTCACATTGTATCATCTCACATCATCACAAGAAGGGTGAGTACTGTAAAAGATATTTTAAGACCACATTTACATAACTTTTATTACAGTACTAGACGCCTGGTGCACGAATTCATGCATCAGTGGGGTCCCCTGGCTTGGCCTGTGGGATTGGGCCAAAAGTGGCTCTCCAACATTCCCCCAAGGGGTGCTGGATTGTGAGAGGGCACAGGCCAGGCTGAGGGCCCTCACCAGTGCATGATCAGGGCCAGGGAGGGACACAGGAGGTTGGCCAACTGGGAAGGGACTAAGGAAGGACTCCAGGGCATGTCGGGCCCGTCTCACAGTCCCAATTGGCCAAACCCCAGCAGCAAGCTAACCTACTGGTTGGAGTGTCTGCCTCCTGGTGGTCAATGTACATCATAGTGACTGGTCAACTGGTCAACTGTCTGCCCCCTGGTGGTCAGTGCCAATCATAGCGAGCAATTGAGTAGCCTTAGCATATCATTAGCATATTACACTTTGGGTTTTTTTTTTTGTTTATTTTCCTTATTTTTAAAAATTAATTATTACCATTGCACCTCCCCCCTCTCATACATACCCTCCTTCCCCAGAGTTTTGTGTCCATTGGTTGTACTTATCTGCATGTATACAAGTCCTTCGGTTGATCTCTTATCTCCCCCAGATCTCCTTACCCTCCCCACTGTAATTTGGCAGTCTGCTTGTTGCTTTACTGTCTCTATATCTATCTTTTGGTTCATCAGTTTATAATGTTCTTTATTATCCATAAATGAGTGAGGTCATGTGGTGTTTCTCTTTCATTGACTGGCTTATTTCACTCAGCATGATGTTCTCCAATTCCATCCAGGTTGCTGCAAATGATGAGAATTCCTTCTTTTTAATGGCAGCATAGTATTCCATTTTGTAGATATACCATAGTTTTTTGATCCAATCATCTGCTGACGAGCACCTAGGCTGTTTCCAAATCCTAGCTATTGTAGATTGTGCAAACATATTACACTTTGATTGGCTGAACGGCCAATCAGCTGACCAGCCACTTAGCATATTAGGCTTTTATTACATAGGATATTAGGGGCTCAGTGCATGAATTCATGCACCTTGAAAAGATCTGTGAGCTACGAGTCTGCAGTGGGCACAGGAGTGGGTCTCAGACCTCCACACCCCTGCCTGGCCACTCTCACCGTGGCCTCCTGCTCCCACCACCGATGCATGGAGTGATTGGGGTCAGCACCAGCAGCAGGTGCGAGTAGGGCCGGTGCAAGTGGCAGCTGCTGCCCAGATTGCCCCTCAGTAGCAGGGAAAGTTGGAGAAGCCCTCAGGGGTAATTGGGGCTGGCAGCCACCACTTGTACCCGCTGATGGCACCCAGTGATCAGGATCTATGCTGGGCACCAGTTTTGCAGAAGACCAAAGAAAACGAAGGATGCTTCAAAGAAAAGGAGGGACACTGGTTACTATGCCCGCGGACTCAGGGAACAGCCTTCCAAATCTGAGTGAAGGAACACGCATGGGGCTTTCCTTTATATCTCCCTCCCTGTGGTCTTTGTCCCACAAACATGGATTATGCTTCCAGTCCTTTTCTCGGGCCTTGCAAGAAAGCCCCAGGTGTTGGGGGTTTCCAGGCCATATCTGATGGTCTGGCCTGGCGCCAGTGTTAACAACCCTCCCTCGGGGCAGTGAATTGTTCACAGTAACAGGTTCTGCAAGACCAGTACCTGGGAAGGAGAGAGGGACTTAATTATAGGTTATCAGAAATGTACATTGAGCTTGCTGGATTGGATTCAGATCACTATCCCCCAAATATCAGGGTTACCTTGGAATTAGCCCTTTTTAGCCTTCTCACTAGCAGCAGGTGCAAGCGGTGACTCTGGTATCAGCAGCAGGTGTGAGCACCAGGCAGGACCACAGCATGCGGAAGCAAAGCATTTTCAGTAACCATCAGAGCCTCGCCCCAATGACAGTGACCGGCACCCCGCCTTGGTCTGGCGCCCCCACTCACCTGCTCCACCATCCCATCATGGCCACACCTGCCATGGTCCATGCTCTGCTGCCTGCTGCTGACGCCTGCCATGTTCTGCGCACACCCTCTGGTGCTCAGTGCATTGTCATAGTGACTGGTTGTTCAGCTGTCTGGCCATTTGGTCTTTTTGCATACTAGGGTTTTATATATATAGATTATTATAATTGACCTATTATTGTTAATCTCGTACTGTGCCTAGTTTATCAATTATCTATCATAGGAAAACATAATATATACAGAATACAGTACCATTCATGGTTTCAGGCATCCACTGGGGGTTTTGGAATGTATCCTTCTCAGATAGGGGAAACTATTGTACTCTCTTAAGGACCTGGTGCTCGCTGTTAACTGTCTTTAATACTTTTCTGGATCCTAATGGGGGCAGAGAGTGCGCCTTGTAGTTTACATTTCACTCAGAGGTCACTTAGATGGGAACGTTGCATCCAATGTAAAGTAGTCTTCAGTCACTTATACAAATACATCAGTGATTTATTTTCTTCATGTCACTTACCATCCAAAATTATATGGTCAGTTTCTCTACCTCAACCCCTGCCACACAAGCATACCTTCCAACATAATAGCATATTAACTATGAAAGCAGAGACTCTCCTTGTCTGTCTTCACAGGTGTGCCTAGTGTCTACTATTGAAGAGTAGAATTTCACAGCAGCACAATCTTTAAATAGTGAAAAAGTAGGAATTCAATAAATGGATTCAATGATTGAGTGAAAGAAGGTGAATGTGGGCAAGATTTGGAGTCAGAGCATGCATTCAGTATCATACCTATTATTTCCTATATCCTTTGATCATCCTTCTTTGTTGGTGGTCTGAGGAAGCAGGAGTCACACATAAAAATTCAGTATGTCTCAACTTACGGGAGTCTCTTTTATTTTTGCGTTTTCCCTTCTCCTCCTCCATCTCTGATTGAAGATGAAGGAAGAAGGAAAGGGGAAGAAGAAGCAGAAATTGCCCTTCAGGATAGTTTTTTAACAAGTACTTTACTGTATTTTTATTGATTTCAGAGAGGAAGGGAGAGGGAGAGAGAAAACAAACAAACATACACATCAATGATGAGAGAGAATTATTGATCGGCTGCCTCCTCCACACCCCACACACGGATTCGAGCCCACAACCTGACTGGAAATCAAACCATGACCTACCTCCTAGTTCATAGGTCAATGCTCAACCCGAGCCACATTGGCTGGCTTATACCAAGTATTTTAGAATAAAAATTTTAATTGATAATATCTAATGTTGATGAGACTGTAGAAAAACTGGTACACACAAACTGCAAGTAAAAATAAATGACGATCTCTAGCACTTATTAAGCAATTAGTCAGTGCAAAATCCACACTTCATTTCATTTGGTCCTCACAACCCTATGGGATAGAAACTACTATTGTACTATTTTATGCATCAAGAAACTGAAGCTAACCTAACAGTGTGGCTCCGAGGTTGAGCGTTAACCTTGGAACCAGGAGATCACTGGTTCGATTCCCACTCAGAGCCCATGCTTGGGTTGTGGGCTTGGTCCCCAGTTGTGGGGCGTAAAAGAGAAGACAGCTGATCAATGATTCTCTCTCATCATTGATGTTTCTGTCTGTCTCTCCCTTTCCCTTCCTCTCTGAAATTAATTAAAAATTAATAAATAAAACTGAGACTTAAAGAGATTGACTGTAGAAACAGTATATTGACACAATCATTTTTTTAAGAGCAATGAGACATGTGTTGTACCAAAACTATTGAATATATAAAATTTATATCCTTTAACCCAATTATGCTAACCTTGTGAATTTATATTCTGGATTAATTTAAGAGAAGAAAGGAACTAACTTCACAAAGACTTTCACTGCAGCATAATTTTTAAATAGTGAAAAAGTAGAAACAACTTGGATGACAAATAACAAGAAAATTTATAGATCATGAACATGACAGAATATCCTGGCTATTGAAAGAATAATTGTAAAGTGTTTAAATATGGGAGAATGTTTTATGGTATATTAAATTAAAAATTAGACTATGAAAATATAATAACCATTAAAATATATGAATTTGAATAAGAACCAGAAGGGAATAACTCCAAATGAAAATACAGTGTTAAGAATGTGGGATTATTGCCTTGGCCGGTTTGGCTCAGTGGATGGAGCCTCGGCCTGTGGACTGAAGGGTCCCAGGTTCGATTTTAGTCAGGGGCACATGCCTGGGTTGTGGGCTCGACCCCCAGTGGGGGCATACAGGAGGCAGCCAGTCAATGATTCTCTCACAATTGATGTTTCTATTTCTCTCTCCCTCTTCCTTCCTTGCTGAAATCAATAAAAAAATATATATATATTTTTAAAAAGAATTTGGGATTATAAAAGTTTTTTTTCCTTCTTTTTAAAATACTTTCTTTCATATTATTGCATTGTTTTTAATTAAAAAAGAAAAGAAAATACCGCTGAAACTGGTTTGGCTCAGTGGTAGAGCATCAGCCTGCGGACTGAAAGGTCCCAGGTTCGATTCTGGTCAGGGGCATGTACATTGGTTTCGGGCACATCCCCGGTAGGGGGTGTGCAAGAGGCAGCTGGTTGGTGTTTCTCTCTCATCGACGTTTCTAGCTCCCTTCCTCTATATATTTTAAAAAAATAATAAAAAAAAAGAAAAAAGAAAATACCCATAAAAATAGGAAAGAATGCTGAATTAGCCATGTATGTGTTCTGTTGAACAGAAACCTAATTAAACCACCAATTTAAGTCACTATATTTATCAATATCAAACAAACTTGAAAAATCTATATTTAGAACTGGTTTAATGAACTTAACAGCAATTTTGAAGACTCCTGATTGATGTCCAGCAGGAAATCTATTATAATTTCTCCATCTCATGTTCCACCTTCACGTCCAAGTTTTAAGTGAGCAGCTTTGACTAGTCTAGTTTAGACATCAGTGATTTTATAGTTCTGACTTTTGGACTTGTTCAGAGATGTATCTTTTTTCAGAGAAGCCACAGTGTGTATATGTATCCAGCTTCAGAATTCTGTGAACAGGAAAGAGACTCGAGGGACTCAGGGTTTGCCACTGCTTCTTCTGACTTGTGTTCTTTAGTTTCTTAAAGACTTTCGATGGACTCTACCAAACCTGTTATAGAAAAACTAAGAAAGGCCACATGTGAGAAACTTAGGTGCATAGGGTCTCTTGCCAGCATTTTTGGGTAATGGGATAAGGCTTCAATAGGATTTCAGTTTTGACGATTATCAAACACAAAGACAGCCAAATAAAATTACCTTTATGGATTATCTTCTACCGTGAGTCAGAATTCTGTTAGGTGTCGGGGTGAGGCAGTGGTGAGGGGAGAAGAAACTGGAAGGTTTAAATACTATATAGAGAGGAAGTTACCCCTAAATGCTATGCTTTCTCAAGCCAGCAACTCACAACTGATTAGTCAGCCATGACTCTCAATCATACAGATGACTGTCTCGACTTTACTAACCTGGAGTTTGGTAGGGGCAAGATTTTATTCAATGGGTCATATTCAGAGCTGCCAGTCAGTATTGTTTCCTAAAAGGCAAGAAAGCATTAACTTAAAATTTCTAATGATAAATCATTGGCACTATGATCCTAGAACTATGCTTTATATATATATATACTAGAGGCTCAATGCACGAAATTCATGCAAGAGTAGGCCTTCACAACCGTGGTGGCTGCCTCAATCCCGTGGCTTCTTCTGGAAGGACTTCTGGTCTAATTAGCATATTATGCTTTAATGATTATATATATATATGTTTTTTGTTAAAAATGTAATCCCCCTAACCTCACACCTGTTAGATAAGAGGTGGTAAGTGCTGATGAGGATGTGGAGAAACAGGAACCCTCGTGCACTATTTATAGGAATATAAATTGGAGTAGCTACTATGGAAAACGGTATGGAGGTTCCTCAAAAAATTAAAAATAGCCCTAGCTTGTTTGGCTCAGTGAACAGAGCTCCAGTCTGCAGAATGAAGGGTCCTGAGTTCGATGTGATCAAGGGCACTGCCCATGTTGTGGGCTCGATCCCCAGTGTGGAGTGTGCAGGAGGCAGCCAATCAGTGACTCTCCCTTACCGATGTTTCTATCTCTCCCGCCCTCTCCCTTCCTCTCTGAAATCAATAAAAATATATTCAAAAATTAAAAATAAAACTATATGATCCAGCAATTCTACTCTGGGTATTTATCCAATGGAAACAAAATCACTACCCTGAAGACATATCTGCACTCCATGTTTAGCGCAGCATTATTTACAATAGCCAAGACATGGAAACCACCAAGTATCCATTATGGATGAACGAATAAAGAAATTGTTAAACACACATGCAAACACACACAATATGGAATACTATCCAGCCATAAAAAAGAAGGAAATCCTGCCATTTGTGATAACATGGGTAGACTTTAAGGACATTATGCTAAGTGGAATAAGTCAGAGAAAAACAAATACCATATGACCTCACTTGTATTTGAAATCTCATGAACAAACTCATAGCAACAGAGATAAGATCTGTGGTTGCTAGAGGTAGAGGTCGGAGAATTAGGTAAAGATGGTCAAAAGCTACAAGATAAATTCTGGGATGTAATGTCCAACATGATGACTATTGTTAACAATACTGTATATTTGAAAGTTGTTAAGAGAATAGATCTTAAAGTTTTCATGAGTAGGGATAATATTATAAGTACCCTAGGAAGAAACATATAACCTATGATACAAGCCAGGGAAGAAAGCAAGAAGCCCTGTCCTGGACTTAAAATGCATCTTAGCTCACTGAAATTCCTCTTGCTGACTTGCTCACCAACCAGACACTGGACCTTGTCTGAACCTATATTACCTGTCTGCTTGGATTTTTGTAACATAATTGCTTTTTTCTGACTCAGATGTTTTCCTTAGATTTGACTTCTTGCCAGATCAGACTAGCTTCACTTTACCTCTCTGAACCTCAGATTTGCTCATCTCTCAGATTGGACTGGAGCTATACATGGCAAGCAGGGTTGTTGAGAATGAGGCATACGTGTGAAGACATTTAATATTAATTCATTCTCAAATATTTTTGGAGCACCTGTGCATAGATACAATTACATATAAGATACAATCTTTGATCCAGGATCTCATCGCTGAGTTGATGAGATGGAGAAGAAGTAAAAAGGTAATGACAATAGAGTGTGTGAAGGAAGAAGTTATGAGGCATACACAAATTGCCCTGGGACCACACAGAAGGAGAGTGTTTAGTAAAAGCTGACCCAAAGAAGAGCAAAGCTGGCCAAGGACAGACTCAGGGGCTGCTGCCCTGGTATGCAGGCAATGAGCCACAGTCCACCATGAAGCCAAGTTCAGGTGACAGCTATATAAAGGAGATGAAGGAAAGAGAGAACAGAACAACCTTAACAACAGGCCAGGCACTTTAAACTTCATATTAAACACCTACCAGGGAGCTCATATCTTACCTCTCCTCTGCAAATCTGGATGCTTCTTATAATGCGTTCTAAGAGGCCAACCTGCTCCGTGAGCTGGAGACTATTTTCCTGTAATTGCTTATTTTCTTTATCCAGGAAAAGTACTCTAAGAATGAGATAAATCAGAGGCATGACTAAAAATTTCTACATTATCATTAAAAACTATATCCCACTTCCCACTAACTCTGGGTCTTAGCCCAGATTTTAGAACCAACTTTGGCATACCAAGTGAAAATTAATAAGCTTCTTGCATGTACATAGTCATTCAATACCTACTGAGAGCAGAGACATACTATGTGCAAGAGAATGAAAGTCATATTTCTAGCCCTTGAGTCACATCAGGAAGGATATGATCCCATTTAGCAGTGGAACTGAAAGAAGAGACTCTGCATCACTTCAAATACAGTAACTACACAGCCTGCATCTGGTTTGATCTCATGCAGTCATCCCATACATTAGCAGCAGCAGCAGTAGCAGCAAGCATTTGCTGAGTATTTACCATGCACTTAGGCACTGGAACCTATCCACACAGAAAGCACTTCATGTATCCTATATAATAAAAGCCTAATATACTAAGCGTCTGGTCAGCCAGTCATCCATTCAACCAACCAGAGTCCAGAGTGCTAACCATTACACTATGGAATCATTCAACCAATCAAAGTGTTATCCTAATATATAAAAACTCTGGGTTGTAATGACCAGTACAACCAGAAGCTGACCAACTGGAAGTCAGTGCTGGCTCTGCCCCTAAGCAAGCAGTAAGGGGCAATCAGCCAGGCAGCAGAGGGGTTATGGGTGATCAGGTAGGCAGACCAGCAGTTAGGGGTAATCAGGTAGGTAGGCGAGTGGTTAGGGGAGATCAGGTAGGCAGACGGCCCCTTGCAGAGCTGGCCCTGCCCCCCAGCAAAGAAAGAGGGAACCCCAGGCTAGCCAAGCCATTGCACCCCAGCCTGTCACCTGCAGAGGGAGGCCACTGGTGGTAGGGGAGGCGGGGGCAGTGCTGCACAGATGGCAAGCAGTGGCAGCTGCAGGGGTGGGGCCAGCTGCCTGCAGTCCAGGGAAGGAAAGCCCCATAGGCCCTGATCTCAGGCCAGGTCTAGAGACCCTACCCAAGGGATCCCAGATTGTGAGAGGGTGCAGGCCGGGCTGAGGGACCCCCCCCCCCCCCCCCAAGTGCACGAATTTTCATTCACTGGGTCTCTAGTATGCTAATGATATGCTAAGGCAGCTCAACTGCTTGCTATGATTTGCACTGACCAATAGGTTAGCTTGCTGCTGGGGTCCGCTGATTGGCACTGAGAGAGATCACCTGGACTCTCCCTGGAGCCCTCCCACGTCCCTCCTAGACCCTGATTGTACACTAGTGGAGTCCCTCAACCTGGCCTGTACCCTCTCACAATCTGGGACTTCTCAGGGGATGTTGGAAAGCCAGTTTCAGCCCGATCCCACACACCAGACCATGGGACCCCACTGGTGCATGAATTTGTGTACCAGGCCTCTAATTAGCTCATATAATTCTCATAACAACTTCACAAGATACTGTTATAAAGCCCATTTTACAGGTGATGAAAGTGAAGCTCAGAGAGGGGACAGTAATTTGTGTAAGAAGATAAAACTAGAAGTCATAGAGCTGGGTTGCCAATCCAGAATTTTTAAAGTTGTAAAGCCCAAGGACCTCATTGCTTTGCCAGCCCCACTCTGCAGGGATGCAGTTTATATGGGACACATGAGAGTGCAATAGTTTTAATCAGAGGTTTATGTTTGAGTTTTTCCACTTACTAGCTGTGTGACCATGGCAAATTATTAAATTGAGCCTCAGTTTTCTCATCTGTAAAATGAGGAAAACTCCCTCCATAGAGAAGCTTACTGAGGAAATATAAGTCAAGTCCTGGTGACCAAATGTGTCTTCAGGAGGGCAAGACAGTATTAATGGGGAGACACGGCAAGAGGAATTTCAGGGAGCTGAGTTTCATTTTAAAGAGTCAATTGTGTGCCGAAATCGGTTTGGCTCAGTGGATAGAGCATCGACTTGGGGACTGAAGGGTCCCGGGTTCGATTCCGGTCAAGGGCATGTACCTTGGTTGTGGGCATATCCCCAGTAGGGGGTGTGCAAGAGGCAGCTAATCGATGACTCACCAATGTTTCTAACTCTCTATCTCTCTCCCTTCCTATCTGTACAAAATCAATAAAATATATTAAAAAAAAATAAAGAGTCAATTGTGTTGAGACAGTCAGAAGTAATGGCAATAAATTATGTGGAATATATAAAAGGGGGTAAATAGATAGTAAAAGGTAATCTGAGATTCTCCATGCCTGCCTGGAGCAGCATGCATCCATATCAGTGGAAAGTTCTAGTTTGCTTGGCAGATTTCTCTTCAGGCTGCAGTGCCGTGAGGTCTGGTATCAGGCTGCCCTGACACTGACTAAACTGCCTAACCAATCTGGACCTCAGCTTCTCACCCATAAAATAGGTTATAATAATGTCTCCCTCCTGGGATTGGAATGAAAACAAAAAAATAAATATATTTAGAGGTAGCTTAGAACAGTGCCTAGCATATAGCAAATGCTCAAAAAAGTGTTAATCATTATAGGTATTATTAGTGATACTGTCTGTTAAGATCAACCCACTCTTTTTGCCCTAATTCTGTGTTCTGAGGAAACTTTTGATAGTAACTAACGTTTCCTATAGAGAGGAGAGGATGGTTGAGCTAGCTGACATGTGCATTCTTATCTGCTGAGAATATTCTCCTCACAAATTAATACATTGGTTGCCTGTGAGTTTCATGAATTTAAATTACTAGTGTGAGCCCGTTTCTCTGTTGGCCTACCTTGATTCCATAGGTATCAAATGACAAAAATGAGTGTCCACACACACAAAGTGATAGGCCAGAATGAACATAGTGGGTCCTCAAGGAGGCAATCCCATTATGAAAGAGCCTACCTGAATGGCCAGCCCACCTTCTCCATGATATTTTTCTCTGTAATTTCACAACTCCTGCCCCTTGTATGAACTGCTGAAAACAGCAGACAACAGAGCAACAGTGATGAGATAGGACATGAGCTCCCAGGACAGTCTCAGGAAGCATCTCTCTGTTGAGGGAGAAACATCTCATTTGGAGTTCACTGGCAACTCTGGCAGGGCCACACCCACCTGTGCTGAGCAGAAGATATCGTGCATTGGTTGTCATGGATCAATTTTTCTTTCTCTATGAGCTGCTCCAGAAGCTTCCTATTTTCTAGGAGTAGCTTATCATTGTGGGCAGTGACTTGGTCCTGGAATTCCTTCTCCTATGAGTAAAAGCAAAAGCCCTCTAATTACCACAGGAGGAAAAATGATCAATTTAAGAACGTCAGCCTGGTTATAACTCCGATAGCCAATTTCCCTTATTTATTTTTCCTCTCTTGCGGTCTAGACTGTTTTCACCTTTTTGCTGACATTGTCAGCTAGATTGTTCTAATATATATTTTGGGACGTATCGATATGTCATGTATTCTGTTTGGGTTTTTACTCATTCTTTTGGGTTATCTGAGCGCTCAACTTCTAATAAGGTAAAATCTTCTCTATGTTCTAATTATATTAATATCAAATCACAAATACAACCGAATTTTCTAAAACTCCAGATTGAGAATTTAAATAAAAATTTCCCCATAATAGATTTCCATTTGCTTTGTAGTTGTGGGTTTTTTAAGGCAAAGAGAGGAAGATGGGAATTCAGCCACCTGACTTGGCAAACAGTATCAGGATCTCAGTTGGGTTGGCAAGTCAAGCATGTCAGCCAGGCACTAATAGGATTTGGGCAGCGAGGATGCTGAAATGATCTCTAGCTGGGCACCATGCTTCATTTTCTTACCAATGATTCCCCTTAAAACAATAGCTAATGAAGTAGCTAAAATGAAAAAGGAGTATTTTTGTGTGTGGAAAAAGCCTTAACGTTCTTATAGTGACTCAGTAGATGTTGTTGAGGACTTTAGGGGTCAAAGTCTAGAAATTCCCTTCTCATTTCACCAGTGACTGTCAATAGTAGCTAAGGACAGGGTGCCAGTTTGTCTCAGTGGATAGAGCGTCATCCTGGGTTCAATTCCGATTAGGCACATACCTCAGTTGCAGACTCCATCTTGGCCCTGGCCAGGGTGCATGCAAGAGGCAACCCACTGATGACACATCAATGTTTCTCTCTCTCTCTCTCTCTCTCTCTCTCTCTCTCTCTCTCTCTCTCTCTCTCCCTCCCTCCCTCCCTTCCACTCTCTCTAAAAATCAATGGAAAGATATCCTTGGTAAGGATTAACAACAAAATAGTAGCAGACAAGAACTTTCACCTTTTCATGTGTGTTCCTCACCTGCCAATGGTGGAGGAAGTGGGCTTGGAGAAGAATGACCTCTGGCAGAGGGGTGAATCACAGAGTTAAGAGGGGTAATTTTCTTTCTTTCTTTTAAGTAATATACCAATATAGAACATTCAGAAAAGATTGCCCATATATGTGGAATCTTAAATAAAAAAACAAACACACTCATAGATACTGACAACAAATTGGTGGAGTCAAAGGCCACAAAGTTCCAGTTATAGATAAAAAAGCCATGGAGATGTAATGTCTGGCATGGTGACTGTAGTGAACAATACTACATTTTATATTTGGAAGTTGCTAAGAGTACATTTTAAAACGTTCTTATCACAAAAAAATGTATAATGATTTACGGTGATGGATGTTAGCTAGACTTATTGTGGGGACCATTTTGTAATATATACAAATATAGAATCATTATGATATATACCTGAAACAAATATAATGTTGTATGTCAATTACATCTAAAAAAAAAAAGAAAAGGAAAAAATTGTCCATCAAAGAGTTATAAAGGAGATATTATGTTTTGAAACAAACCATTCCAGATTTTAGTCTTTAATCCAGAACCTTTCAATGTCTAACAGTAGTCTCCCCTGATATTATTTAAATGCATTTATGGTTAGTATTGAGTATAGAAGGAGCCATCCCAAAATAATACTCTATGCAGCTACAACTGGATTAGTAAGGACATTGAATGGGGCAGGCTACTGACACCCTGCCCTTTGGAAATACCATACTTCTTTGAACAAAAAAAATTAGGACACTTGCTCCAATAATAGGGTAAAATATTTTTGGGACATCTGGTTTAGATGGTCACAACAGTCAGAGGACTCAACTGGTTCGCTGTATATAGAGAAGGCTGAAAAATTAAGCCCCAAAAGGTGACATTATTTTCTGGACATTTGGTGCTTAGAAAGTGAGCCCAGCTTTTTAATGCTCAGGGTTCTGGTCCATGTGCCCTAAAATAAGCAAAATCTGGACCACTGTGGGTCTTCTCTAGGCAATTTCCAATTCTAGTAACAATTTCTCTTGAGAACTGTGCATCCATTGATTAACATGTGCCTAAGAGATTTTATACCAAAAAGAAGGCTACAAAAATTTATATGTGCCAGGAACCACTTTAGCCATTTCATATTTTAATCCTGGTGAGGGAGGGATATATTTCCCCCAAGTCACAGATGAGGAAGATGAAGGGAAAACATTACTGGCAGAGTCCATTGCTCTCCTTTTTAAATGTATGTAGTTTAATGATCTCAAGGCCATTCTACTTTGGATTCTATCCACCTTCCCCATGTCCTCCCTACCCACACACCAGCAAGTCATAATGGCAATAAGGCAAACATGAATATTTAGAAATAAGCTTGTAGGCACTAATTAAAGATTGATAAAGAAATATGGATTACCTATTTTCTCTGTCATTTAAAACTAACGGGAGTTTGAGGCAAATGAGGGGTTATAAAAATTAGGAAGGAATGAGTTACTGAAGGTGTTTCAGAACTCTTTGCTGAAGGGTGTTTAAGAAAATATATTTTTGCCGAAACCGGTTTGGCTCAGTGGATTGAGCGTCGGTCTGCGGACTGAAAGGTCCCAGGTTCGATTCCAATCAAGGACATGTACATTGGCTGTGGGCACATCCTCAGTAGGGGGTTTGCAAGAGATAGCTGGTTGATGTTTCTCTCTCATCGTTTCTAGCTCTTTATCCCTCTCCCTTCCTCTCTGTGAAAAATCAATAAAATATTAAAAAAGAAAATAAAATATATTTTCACTTGAAGGCAAGACACAATTATATGCAGGCAGTGCAGACTATTTTCAGGGTCCAGTTTGAACACCACTAGGAGTCTTAAATCCTTTTTGGCAAAGAAGGTGCAAAGAAAAGACATTGAAAGAAGGTGCAGAGAAAAGACATGAAAACATGGGCTATGTAGAGGCCACAAATAAATTTTTAAAATGAGTGGGTTTTCCAGGACCAGCATCATCAGTGAGCTTGTCACCTTTTTAACTCTCACCTTTTCTAATTTTTGCTGCAGTATTCCAAGTTCATTTTCAAGTAGTTTAATTCTCTCATCTCGAAGCTCTACTTCATGAACGAAATGACTCTTGACTCTATGAAGCTTGGTTTTGTGATGATGATATTTTTTATTATAGTTTCTATAAAAATAAATTAAAAAACAGGCACACTTGAACACAGTGGTATTTTATTTTGCCTCCTCAATACGCACCTCTCTTGGGTTTCCTCTTCTTGCTTTGTCAGGGCCTGGCACCGGACAGGGATACTTGTCCTGCCTCAGCTCTGCAGTACTTTTTGCCCTCAAGTAGGGGAATGGACCAAGGATAATCTCCCCCAAAACACCAGTTTTTATTCATCACCATGGACTCAAGTCTCTGGCTTATCTTGGTCTTGAGCTGACGAGTGTAAGCTATGCTTACAAGTTTAAATTTGGAAACTCCTTGACTTCTGACCCCTGCTCCACTGATTCAGTCGTCATTTTTAAATTTTCCAGTTCTTAGCTATGCCCTTGTATAGTAATATAACTTGCTTCAATATTGTTTATTTTCCAGATAACTAGGTCTGCTCTCAGTCTTTACCTTGAGTCTAGACTTCTAAATGACCAGACTCATTTAGTCTGGGCTTCTAAATGCAAATCCTATATAGGCCTCTGTTCAAGACTTTATTATAATTCTGACATAAATCTTACCGCCAATAAGCACAGAAAAAGATGCTCAACATTATTAGCTATTAAGGAAACACAAATGAAAGCTATAATGAAATATAACATCACAGCCACTAGGATGGCTAAGATAAAAAAGGATGTGGAAACATTGAAACTCTCATACACTGGTTTTAGGAATATCAAATGGTACAGCCACTTTGGAGAAAGCCTGGCAGTTCCTCAAATGATTAAATATAGAGCCATATGATCCAGCCGTTCCACTCCTAGAGAAAGTCCAAGAAAATGAAAACATGGCCCAGCTGGTGTGGCTCAGTTGGTTGAGCATCTTCATATGCACTAAGAGGTCACTGCTTCAATTCCCAGTTGGGCTCATGCCCAGGTTGTGGGCTCAATCCCCAGTAGGGGACACACATAAGGCAGTGTATTGATGTTTTTCTTTCTCATTGATGTTTTTTCTCTCTTTCTAAAATAAATAAAAACATTTTTTAAAAAAGAAAACGTGCATAAAAACATGTATATGAATGTTTATAGTAACACCATTCATAAAAACCAATAGGTGGAAACAACCCACATTTCCACCAACTGATGAACAGATAAACAAGATAGGGTGTGTACATACAATAGAAAATAATTCAGCCTTAAAGAGGAAATTTTGCCAGGCCAGTGTGGCTCAGTGGTTGAGCATCGACCCATGAACCAGAAGGTCATGGTTCAATTCCTGGTCAGGGCACATGCCTGGGTTGTAGGCTTGATCCCAGATTCTCTCTCATCACTGTTGTTTCTCTCTCTCTCTTCCTCTCTGAAATCAATAAAAACACTTTTTTTTTTTAAAGAAAGGAAAATTTGGCTCATACTAAACTTAGAAAATTTGGAAAAGAATCCAACTTCCAATATGATCAGTATTGTAATACTGTTGTATTTCCTGTTAGTCTTTTTGTAAGCATCTTTTGTTTAAATGGTCTACATTAAAACTTTTATCTTATGCTCTTGTCACTGATTATATCATAATGATTTTCCTATGCTATCTAGTCTTCATAGCCACCATCTCTTTCAGTTGTAATATCAATATGTTCCATGAATGTATTATACTAGATCTAACTACCGTGTTTCCCCGAAAATAAGACATCCTCCGAAAATAAGACCTAGCGCATGGAAAGATAAGACATCCCTGAAAATAAGACCTAGCGCAACTTTGGGAGAAAAAATTAATATAAGACACTGTCTTATTTTCGGGGAAACAGGGTAGTTCCTATTGCTGGATGTTTAGGTTTCTTTCTTTTTTTTTTTTTTTAATATATTTTATTGATTTCTTACAGAGAGGAAGATAGAGGAACAGAGAGTTAGAAACATCGATGAGAGATAATCATCGATCAGCTCCCCCCCCCCACTGGTGATATGCCTGCAACCAAGGTATATGCCCTTGACGGGAATCGAATCAGGGACCCTTCAGTCTGCAGGCCGACGCTCTATCCACTGAGCCAAACCGGTTTTGGCATGTTTAGGTTTCTTCCTGTTGTGTTATGCATGGTCTGAAGATTATGCTGATGCAGTAAAGTGAGGGCTCAGCCCTTCCCTTGCCGTTGCTGGCTCGATGTTTGGCACACCTCTGGGTTTGGTCAGAAGTTCTGTTGGCCAACTTGCCTGTTGAACACGTGGCTTTGTTAACTACTAGCACTTGAGGCTGCACAATCCTGATGCTCTAAAATTTAGGGACAGCTTTTAGCTATGTTTAAGTAAAACCAGATGGTCTTTCTATTATTTTTACCTCAAAGAAGCAAGGAATTTGTTCCTCTGGAAGAGTGGTTGGGAAAACATGGAAAAAAAAGAGCATTGTCTGTAAAGGTCAGGACTGGGGGATTAGAGGAATGAAAACAGAAATGAACCTAGAGGGTTTTTGTTGTTGTTTATGGGAATTTTTTTGTGTGTTATTTTTTGAACCTAGAGTTTTGACAGTTCTTTCCATTTTCATTCCTAAATCTGAGTTTTCAGCCTGCATGCAAGTCAGCATCACATGGGGAAGCTTTTAGCAGAATGTTAATCCCCAAGCCTTATCTGAAGATAATGCTTTCGTTAATCTATGTTGGGGCCCAGGCCTATGCAGTTAGGGTTAGGATCCACTGTCAAATAACACAGAAAAATACTCAGCCTCACTGCCCATCAAAGAAATTCAAAATAAAATAATAATGAAGTAATTTATGACCATGTAAGCATTAAAATTCATAGCACATGCTAAGCACAAGAAGTTCAGACACAAAAGATTACATGCAGTAGGATTCCTCCTCGATGAGGTTTTAGGAGAGACAGAAACCGGAAGAATGAATGCCTGGGAGCGGGTGGGGGTGGGGGAGCAGGAGATACAGATCCACTGCAAAAAAGTCGGAGAGAACTTTAAGGATAACGGAAATGTTCTGTACCTGACTGAAGTAGTGGTTATGTTTGTGTAAACATTTGTGGCAACGCATCAAATTGTACATTTGAAATCTGTGCATTTATTATAAGTAAGTTATACCTCAATTTAAAAAAAGAATATTGTGAAAATTTCATCAATGGCAGCACCCAATACTAATGAAGATGTGGTGAAATTACTATTCTTATATAATGATGGCAAAGTTTTGGTATGATGCTTCTTTTTTTTTTTTTTTTTTTTTTTTTACCAGTAATTCCATTTCTGGGAATATATTCTATAAAAATTAATTTTAAAATGTTTTATTGATTTTTTTTTTGAGCGAGAGGAAAAGAGAGGGATAGAGAGAAACATCAATGAGAAAGGAATATCATCTATCTGCTACCTCCCGCATGCCCCCCAATGAGGATCGAGTCTGCAACCTGGGAATTGAACCAGTGATCTCTGGGTTCCTGGGCCAATGTTCAACCACTGAGCCACATTGGCCAGGCTATAAAAATAATTTTATTTTTTATTTTTTATGGAAATAATTTTAAATGAAAAAACATTTTTCAGTGTTATTTCAAATAAAAATATCAATCACAGATCAGTGAGTAATTTTCACTAAATCAGGACTTTGTTATGACTCCAGCAGACCTAGAATTGCCCTGAGCTGTTTTGCTAAAGTTTTTGGCACTGACCACTGGTCAAGGAATGAAAATACTGATTGCAAGTGTGTTGCTTTGTAACCATAGGTCCACGGAGTTTCCTGGCCGTTTGCACCACCTTGTCAGCACTGTTTATTGATAACAATGAGATTGATGATTTGCACGAGTCTCAAGTGAGAACCCGGGAAGGCTCTGCTCTTCAGGCTTGGCTCTTGAAGGCTGATTACATTGCAGAGATATAGTCACATGACCAGCAGAGTATTAAAATAATAAATAAATAAATCTTAGTAGAGATTCCATTTGGGATCCCTGGTTGTGAAGTGTTCAGTGCATGTCTGTGATTCGTGACCCGCGAGAGGAGTAGCTTTCAGGCAGGGCCCTTCCAGAGGGAAGACCTCAGGGGCTCCTGCCTAACTGCTCGGACTGCCTGCTGTGAGACAGCCATGGGTATGGCATATATCCTGACTCTATTCTGTTGCCACATTGTGTCCTTCTCCTGCAGAGCTGTACCTTTGTAAGCACTGTCACGGGGGTTCTGTTAGTCTTCTTTAGCAATCAAACCCAATTTAACTGGCACTGTTTCAACTCGATGAAATATTATGCTTTAAAAAATAAGCAAATTGAAAGACTGTAGCAACAGTGTACAATGCTTATAAGATGGTATTAAGAAGAAGAGAACATAACCTTTTTTCTTTCTAGGATAGTAAAATCAAAAAAGTATATTGTTGCCGAAACTGGGAGCGTCGGTCTGCGGACTGAAGGGTCCCAGGTTCGATTCCGGTCAACGGCATGTACATTGGTTGTGGGCACATCCCCGGTAGGGGGTGTGCAGGAGGCAGCTGGTCGATGTTTCTCTCTCATTGACGTTTCTAGTTCTCTATCTCTCTCCTTTCCTCTCTGTAAAAAATCATTAAAATATATTTAAAAAAATATATTGTTGACAGAGAACAAGGAGTGAACATGGGATGGATTCTAGGTGTGTGTTTTTTCCATTAAAAAATTTGCATTGTTGCCTTGGCTGGCATGGCTCAATGGTTGAGCATCAACCTATGAACCAGGAGGTCACAGTTCAATTCCCGGCCAGGGCATATGCTTGGGCTGTGGACTCAATCCCTAGTGTGGGGCATGCAGGAGGCAACTGATAAACGATTCTCTCACATCATTGATGTTTCTATCTCTTTCTCATTCTCCCTCCCTCTCTGAAATCAATAAAAAATTTTTAAAAGAAAATGTAACTTCTGCCCTGACTGGTTTGGCTCAGTGGATAGAGTGTTGGCTTGCGGACTGGAGGGTCCCAGGTTTGACTCCGGTCAGGGGTATGTACCTTGGTTGTGGGCACATATCCAGTAGGGAGTCTGCAGGAGGCAGCTGATCGATGTTTCTAACTCTCTATCCCTCTCCCTTCTTCTCTGTAAAAACCCAATAAAATATATTTAAAAAAAAGAAAATGTAACTCCCTAAAAATCAAATGTAATTTTACTTTTGGAGTTTGATATTTACCTGACATGTATCAGCATTATATATTAAATATCAATTTCTCTGACAAGCATTGTAGCATTTTATATACTGATCCATTACTTCATCTTCTTACCTCCTCTAACGTAGAAAGAGCATTGCATAGGTTATCAGGGGACTGAGTTCTCGTCTAAGATTTGTAAGCAGCATGAACTAAACAACATGTACTCCCTTGACCATGATTTCTACATTTCTCAGCAATATAATAATCAAAGCAAGATAACGAATACTAATGACTCTGAAAAATATTCTCTGCTAGACAGCAGTAAATATTGGTTTTTAAGTCATCATCATTACCATCATCAACATAGTAGATAAGAACATACTAGTAAAAGAATAAGAAACTTCAGTCTATAAAGGAATAAAATAAGATTACAGAGATGAAAGCAGAGAAATTGGTCATAGAGAAAACACAAGAAATGAATAGATATAATAATAGTTGTGTACTAGACACTGTTCTAAGTAAGCACTTTGCATGTTTACTCATTTAATTCTCACAAGAACTTTATGAGATAAGAATTGTTCTTTTGCCCATTTTAAAGATGAGAGCCCTCAGACACAAGGAGTTTACATAACTCACCCAAGGTCACATGGCTACTTTCTAGTAGAACCAAGATTTGTAACAAGGCAGTATGGCTCCAGAGTCCATACTCGAACTACTGTGCTACATTTCAAGGCAGAGGACAGTGGGAGAAATCTGGTGGAACGATGACCAGGAAATGGACTGAAAGAGCAGGAATTCCAGGAGCTCTCATTTTTATTGAGCACCTACTATATATACACCAGGAATTATGGATAAAAAAATGAGTGAGACTGTGGCCCATGCCCCTGAAAAGTCAACAGTATGGTGAGGAAGACAGGCAATAAGTCACATTATTTGAAAACAACATGGAAAATTCTTAATTAAGTACAGAGAGGCATATACTAAGGGATATAGGAAGACAGAGAATGAACACTTCTCCCAGCCCAGGCTGGTAGTGTCAAGAAAGGCTTCTTAGAGAAGGTCTAAGAAGTATGATTTGAAATAAAGAGTTGAAATGGGGAGAGGGTGGTCCAGGTTGAGGAAAATAGTGAGGAGAAAAAGCCTGAAGGCAAGTGAGAAGGGTGTATTGGTGGCAAAGCAAACATTTCCCTCCCAAAGAGAACTTGTTTTTGTTTACCTCACATGGACATCAAGCTGCTTCAAAAATCCCCCATATTCTTTATGTAGAGCTTCCTTTTCTTGTTGCAACCCAGACACCTTCTCTGACAATTCCTGATAGCTCTTGAGATACTGAAAAACATTTAATATACATATATTATTGATTTCAGAGAGTAAGGGAGAGGAAAAGAGAGAGAGAAATATCAATGATGAGAGTGAATTATTGATTGGCTGCCTCCTACACACCCCCTACTGGGGATCGAGCTCGCAACCCTGGCATGTACCCTTGACCAGAATGGAACCTGCAACCTTTCAGTCTGCATGGTTGACCTGGATCAACCCATGATTTTTTTTTTTTAATATTTAAAAAATATATTTTTTCATATATTTCATTGATTTTTTACAGAGAGGAAGAGAGAGGGAGAGTTAGAAACATCAATTAGCTGCCTCCTGCTGCATCCTACTGGGGATGTGCCCGCAACCAAGGTACATGCCCTTGACCGGAATAGAACTTGGGACCTTTCAGTCCACAGGCCGAATCTCTATCCACTGAGCCAAACCGGTTTTCGGCCAACCCATGATTTTGTGCCTCTATCCACTGAGCAAAATCAGCTAGGGGTGGAAAATCATGTTATAAAATGAGAATACTAGGTGTACCAGTTAATAATGTGGATTTTTTTCAATAGAGTTACACATAGGTTGATATATATGCGATTTAATATATATGCTATTTTGTTGTATTGACAGCAAGTTTCAAAACTTCATATATAAAATTTGCTGAAGGTGTTAACATCATAGATATTTTTATGCTTAAACATGTCAAATTTCATGCCAAAAAAAGAACGTTTGTGGGAAGTTTTAATTCATTACTTTATTTTGAAGAAAAAGTTATCGTATACTTCGGTTATGGTGAACATGCTCCATCTCAAGATACTCGTAAACACTGGTTTAAACACTTTAAAAGTGATGATTTTGATGTGAAAGACAAAGAACATCCAGGTCAACCGAAAAAGACCAACAATTATAAGCATTATTGGATGGAGATGCATGTCAAACTCAAAAACAACTTGCAGAAAGATTAAACGTTGCTCAGCAAACAATTTCTGATCATTTACAAGCAGTAGGAAAGATTAAAGGAAGGAACATCAACTTAACGAAAGACAAATGGAAAACTGAAAAATCATCAGTAAAATGTTGCTTCAATATCACGAAAGAAAGTCTTTTTTTGCATCGAATTGTGACTGGCGATGAAAAGTGGATTTATTTTGAGAATCCCAAAAGCACAAAATCATGGGTTGATCCAGTTCAACCATCAACATTGACTGCAAGGCCAAATCGCTTCGGAAAGAAGACAGTGCTCTGCGTTTGGTGGGATCAGGAAGGTGTGGTGTATTATGAGCTTCTAAAACCAGGTGAAACCATTAATACTGATCACTACTGACAACAAATAATCAATTTAAACCACACTTTGATCATGAAATGACCAGAATGTGCCAGAAGACACAGCAAAGTAACTTTGCTTCATGATGCTGCACCATCACACACTTCAAAACCAGTTAAAGACACGTTAAAAGATCTTGTCTGGGAAGTATTAACCCAACCAATGTATTCACCAGACCTTGCTCCTTCAGATTACCACTTGTTCTGATCCATGGCACAAGCACTTTCTGAGCAGCACTTCAAAATGTACGAAGTGGAAACAATTGAGTCCCTGAATGGTTTTCCTCAAACAAGAAAAGTTCTACAAATTGCCTGAAAGATGGGGAAATGTGTAGCTAGTGATGGACATTACTTTGAATAAAGCACTTTTGACGTTTCTCTTGAAATTATTGTTTTCTTTGATTATAAAACCTGTCATTATTAACTAGTGCACCTAGTATTCTGTGCTGAGTAAAGATATGATATTGATAGGATGTAAACTGACAAAGCCTTTCTGCTGAAAAAAGCTTACAGTGGCTCCAGCTTCTGACACGGGAGTAGCTCTCTGTGATTTCTGCTCTTTCAGATTTTCTGCAGCTCTTTGCCTTGACTTTTGCTCCATCAGCCTTTCCAATAGTTTTGCAAGCATCTAATTACCTATATAAAAAGTCTCCCAGCTCACCCTAGCCGGTTTGGCTCAGTGGATAGAGCTTCGGGTCAAGGGCACATACCTTGGTTGAAGGCTCCTCCCCGGCTGGGACCCTGGTTGGGTTTCATGCAGCAGGCAACCAATCAATGTGTCTCTCTCACATTGATGTTTCCCTCTGACTTTCCCTCTCTCTTCCACTCTCCCTAAAAAATTAATGGAAAAATATCCTCAAGTGAGGATTAACAAAAAAAGAAGAAGAAAAAAAAAGTCTTCCAGCTTGAAGTCTATACTAAAGTGAAAGCTGTTTTTCTGAGCTAACCCTGACTAATAAACTATCTGGTTCTATTATAGAAATGGCTCCAGTGAACAGGTCCTCAAATATGGGGAGCTCAAAGATTGGATATCTGACCAGGTTAGAGGTAAAGGCAAGTATAATCTTGTCACTAGTATTAGACACCCATGACTTAAGGGTCGATTAGATTATAGTTTATAGTTGCCTGTCATGAAGTACTTTGGGAGACCACATGATTGGTATAAAGCGTGTTACAACAGAAATGAGAGGTACAAGGAGTTTGGGGTGGCCTGGCCATAGCAGTTCTTTCTGATCTTCTACTTATCCCTAACTCGCAGAGGTGGTTAGGGGTGATCAGGAAGGCAGGCGAGTGGTTAGGAACCAGCAGTCCCAGATTGAGAGAGAGATGTCTGCAACAGTTTTATAAGCATGTTATTCCTTGTGTTAAATCCCTTCCTGATTGAAATACCTACAGTAAATTCTGCTTTCCTGACTGAACCCTGACTAAATGAATGGGTAAAGTGCTAGGCGCTCAATAAGTTATTAACTACTGCTCCATGGCAGCAATCTGCAACCTATTTCATCTCATGGCACATATCCACTAGTTACTAAAATTTTGTGGCAGCCAAAACCGGTTTGGCTCAGTGGATAGAGCATCGGCCTGTGGATTGAAAGGTCACAGGTTCAATTCTGGTCAAGGGCATGTACCTTAGTTGCGGGCACATCCCCGGTGGGGGGTTGGGGGAGTGCAGGAGGAAGCTGGTCAATGTTTCTCTCTCATCAATATTTCTAGTTCTTTGTCCCTCTCCCTTCCTCTCTGTAAAAAATCAATAAAATATATTAAAAAATAAAAAAATAAAATTCTGTGGCAAAACAAAATATATTATAGTTTTTGCTGATCTGACACACAAAAAAAGTGTAATTTTGATTCATTTTTACCAGATGGCTATTGTTATGTTGGGTGTAGTCATTTTTTTATTTGACAATCTAACAGAAAAGAAGTCAATGCCCTGACTAAAGAGTGAGATACTGCATGTTTAAAAATGTTTTGTGGCACACTGATTGAAAACCGCTGCTCTCTGGGAACTGGAAAGCTGAGAAGCCTGTCTATTTACTTTCTTACCTCATCAGACTTTCTTTTTTCATTTTCCAGTTGTTTAAGTTGGGCCTCTTGTTGCTGAATTCTGTGTTGTTGCTGAGAACTGGTCGTTTCTAGTATATTCTCTTTATCCAGTAATATTTTCACTTTTTGTCGTAGCTCATTTATATCATGATCTAGGTGTTTCCTGAGGACAATAATATACATTAAAATCACACCGTGAATTGCGAAGCTTTGCAAATGAAACTCTTTGAGATAAAATTGTTTTTGTTTTTTAAATCCTTATCCAAGGATATGCTTTTCACTGATTCTAGAGACAGAGGAAAGAAGAGAAAGAAAGAGAGAAACATTCATGTGAGAGAGAAACATGGATTGGTGGCCTCCTGTATGTGCCCCAAAATGGGATCAAACCTGCAACCTGGGTATGTGCCAGGACCAGGAATGGAGCCCGTGGTCCTTCAGAGCGAGGGACAACACTCCTACCAACTATGCCAGGTGGTCAGGGTGTTCCCCTGAACTTTAAGATAAAGTTCAAACTCTTAAATATGGCTTGCTAGCTAGCCTCATTTTAGCTTGCCTCTCTAGCCTCATTTTCGTGCCACTCCCTGTACCCACAGACATTTTGTGCCAGCCAAAATGAACTCCCCCCAAATAAGCTTTTTTCATTCCCTGAAACAAGTCATTCTCCACACTTATTCCTCCTCTGCAACTCCAACCTTTTCCCTGTCTTCCTCTTCTAGGCCTTCCTTTGCCTAATATTCTCTACTTAGCTTCCCCATGCCAACTGCCTTAGTCTCAGCTTAAATAGCTTTCTTAGAGGAAGGCTTTCTTGAGCTCTCTAGACCAGGTTAGATGTCCTTGCTACCTGATATTACAGCATCGTAAACTCGCCTTAGTATAATACATATTTCATTGCAGTTGCAAAGTCTTGTGTAGAAGGTGTTCTTTTTAAAAAATATATATATTTTATTGATTTTGTACAGAGGAAGGGAGAGAGATACAGAGTTAGAAACATCGATGAGAGAGAGTCATCGATCAGCTGCCTCTTGCACACCCCCTACTGGGGATATGCCCGCAACCAAGGTACATGCCCTTGACCGGAATCGAACCCTGGACCCTTCAGTCCCCAAGCCGACGCTCTATCCATTGAGCCAAACTGGTCTCGGCTAGAAGGTGTTCTTTATAGTGAAACCGAGGGTCCTGATTTAGCGTATTATTTCTGCTGACTATGTAACCCCAGTATTCTATTCAGTATTTTCACAGCCTGCCCTGTAAGCTTAGATCTTCCCTTACTAGTCATTAACCCCCTGAGGCAACAAAAACAATGGCTGCACCTTCACTAAGGGTCACAAGGTATGCGTTCTGCTAAGCTAAAGGTACTACTATCTTGACCTAAGTTATGTTTCAGCACCTGTGTCCTAAGGCGGAAGGACTCCCTGGCTACTTTCCAAAAAAAAAACTGGGCAGAGGGGTGACAGAGCTCTCAAACCCTAACCCACGGTGTCTTGTGATTCGCCCTATGTAACCCACATGCCATTGGGGTGCTCAGGTTTTTGGGCATTAGCTTCCCATTCTCTGGGGTGTTGCCACGTATAGTAAGTTAGCAAATATTTCTCCACTGCAATTCTTGGTGTTTAGTGTTTGGCTCTACTAGTGCCAGGTGGATGCACTTTTCCTGTTTGATAATAATACCATCTATAATAATTCTATAATAATAAAAGCGTAATATGCTAATTAGACTGGATAGCTGAACAACTTTCTGGATGTCATTCTGGATGTCCTTCCGGAAGAAGCTGCAGCGGCGGGGGCTGAGGCAGAGGTGGTCAGGGGTGATCAGGAAGGCAGGCGAGCGGTTAGGAGCCAGCAGTCCCAGATTGAGAGAGAGATGTCTGCAAGAGGGATGTCAGACTGGCAGTTGGACATCCCCCGAGGGGTCCTGGATTGCGAGGGGGCAGGCCAGGCTGAGGGACACCCCTTCCCCTGGGCATGAATTTCATGCCCTGGGACTCTAGTTATTTATAAAAACAAAAGTGTCTAAAATGCATTTAACGTGAATAATGATAGATGTAACAGGATGCTGTACATCTATTTAAAAGAATAGTATGAAATAAATCAGTTACAGAAAGATAGCTGGAAAATCCCAAAATATTTAGTGATTAAACAAACAGTTCTAAAAAATGCATTTGAAAAAAAAGTCTCAAGAAATTAAAAAATATTTTGAACTATATTTATTTGACTTGAAAATGAAAATACAACCTATAACATTCATGAGGTGCATCAAAAAGAGTGCTTAGAGGGAAATTTATAGCATTAGATGCAAATATTATAAAAGGTGAAAAAAATAAACAATCTAAGTTTCCACCTTAGGAAAACTAGAGAAGGAGACCAATATAAGCTTAAATTGAGTAGAATAAAAGAAACAATAAAAATTAGATCAGAAAACCATGACATTGAAAACAGGAAAACAATAGAGAAACCATGAAACTTAAGCTGGCTCTTTGAAAAGATCAGTGATATCGATAAACCTCTAACTAGGCTAACCAAGAAACAGAAAACATAAATTACTAATACCAGAAGTGAAAGAGGGATCATCACTATGGTCAGGGAGAAAAAAATTTTCCTCTTCCCTTCAGTTAGACAGACAAGAGCAGCGTAGGACTGATAGGCCAGGAACAAAAGGTCACCAGGGCAAAAAGCCCCAGGTGACTAGCAACAGGCAGAACTGGGAAAACAAGGATCTTGCTCCCTGTGTAACCTTTCCTCCTCTGGCATATTGATGGTCATGCGGCTTGGATCCTCCCCTGACCTTTCCTCCACTGGCATGTCATAGTCATGTGGTAGACCCCCTTGGAGGAGGAACAGGGCGCTGAAGAGTGATTTTGTGCAACTCCCAGGCAGGCCCTCGCATGACCACTCCTTTAAGCATTTAGCCCCAGAGATAACATCTAGGCCTCAGTTGTTTCAGCTCCGGGCTCAGAAAAGCTGCAAAACCAGACAAGCAATACCATGACTGACATCAGGACCAGCGGCATTGACTAATGACCCCCTGCTCTGGCACTGACCAAGCAGTAGGGACCACATCCCCAAAAGGACACACCTGGGAAGCTGATGAATATGCTATTGGGATCCGCCCCTGAGACCTCCAGATAAATACCCTAAGACAGAGGACCCAGTGCGGCTCTCCCTCCCGCCAGGAGCAGGCTGGTACCAATCTCTCTCCAAAGACCCTTCTTTTGTCTTTGTAACTTGTTTCCTGAGCCATTTCTTCTACAGCTCAGTTCTATCTCTGAAGCTTTCTAATAAACTTGCTCTTGTAGTTTGAGTCTTGGATCTGAATCCTTAGCCAGAACTCAAGTACTGAAGGTCTGACTCCACAGGTCAAATCCCTGGTGCCATTTTACCACCAACTCTGGTTCTTCTGGCTGTCTAATAGTTAAATTAACATGAGACAGATTAGCAGGAGAAAAACAAACTGAAGTTTAATAACATATACTTCCTGCAAAAAAAGGGAGAGCTTCAGGAACACTGAATAACTTGTCAAGATGTCAAAAGCCTTCACCTTTATCTTCAGCTAAAGACAAAAAAAAAAAAAAAAAAAAGATAGTGGCGGTGGGGAGTCAGTTATGGAAGGTTACCAGGAAAAGCACAGTAACAAGCATATTATTATTGTCTACACCTTCTCCACTGATAATTTCTAGATATGTCCTCCTCTTCATGGAATAGTGAGGGAAATACCTTACAAATGTAAATGTCCTTTTACAAAGAATAACTTCTACTTTCCTTTCAGAGGTTCTCCTCTGTCTCCTGTTTCTTAACCTGTTAACCGAGCGGGACCTATTGTTTACGTCAAACGTAAACAATATCAGGAACGGGTAGGACATATGAATACGTCCTTGAAATATATGTTGCGCCCTGAGAGGGACGGTATATATTTTTTGTAATCTTTGTAATTGTTTGTAAAATTTATAATTTTTTAATTCGATGTTTCCATTTTTTTGTTAGTATTCTTTTCTATTTGTTTGTAATTTTGTATTTTCCTTTGTGCTTTATATATAAATAAATGAAAAAATATGTATTTCATTTATTTTAATTAAGTATAAATAAAAAATAATAATAATATGAACTTACATCCTCTGGGCATGACATACTGACACGTCCTAGTGAAAGAGTATGCGCCTGTTACTGGTTGCATAATTAAAAAGGGAACTCCCCGGTTAACAGGTTAAAATTAGCCAGCTTAAATAAAATACTCAATATCCCAAAGAGGCATATTTGGAGATAGCAAACTCTGCTCCTCTCCACTATCATCCCTGACAAAGATCAATTTTGATCTTAACTGAGCCTATTGTCTTTTTGCATCTAGATAACACACCTTTGGAATATTGGGGTAACTTGTAAATTCCCTTTTTTTCTGGACCCTTCAGGACAAACCAATGCACCAGGGCCATACATTCCCTCATTGTTACTGCTATTTGTATTAATTGTTATGTGTTAATTGTTGACTGTTAACTATCCTATGCTCACCTAGGTAAAAGAAGCATGTGACTACCATTTTACTTTTTATCCAATCCCAGAAGTAACTCCCTCCCCTTTGCTTTTCTCCCACCTCCCTAATTTAGCACCAATGGATTTCATATAACCCACTTTCTCCTTCTTTGATGGTGATTTATAAAAATAGGTGAAAAACCTCCATTCTCTGGAGCATTGTATTGTCTCAAAGTGTTGAGATTCTACTTCCTAGCAACAGTTGACAGTTTGGCTCAAATAAACTCACAAAAATTCTTTACAGGTTTGAATAATGTAGTTCTTCCTTAACAATTGTTAGGGATGGGAGGGAGAAATAAAATAGTGGAAACCAGCTATAGTTATAAGAAATGTTAATTATGCTCTGTTAATCATGAGTGCTTTGTTCTGATTAAAGAAAGTACATTCTATCCTGGCTGGGATTTTAAGTCCCCTAGACCTTGGAGCTAACTGGAGATCAGCCCATCTTCCTCATCAGAGAGCTGCCTATTATCATGGAAAGGTTAACAACCTGTTGCCAGGCGAGACTGAAGGCGCCATCCTTTGCAAACCCCCAGCAGGCACTGCCTGTAACCTGTAACCATTACACCCAATTTTATTCCTTTTCCCTACTTCCCCATCCCTGCTTGCCCATTTTTATTTTGCATACCCATTCTTATTTCTTTTGCCTACTTTCCCATGTAATCTTTGTCCTTCTTCTCCACATAACAACTGGCTTATGGGGGGAGGGAGTGCAGAGCAGATATTTGTGGATGACCTGCTGTTCTCCCATTATTGGAATAAACACACATTCAGTATTCAACCCTGTCTCTGCTTAATTGGCTCAAGTAGTGAAAGGCAGCCAGGAACCACTGGCTGTACGGTTTCAAAATTATACCAATTATCTATAATCTCTCCCAGAAAAATTGGAGAGGGGATACTTTCTAACTAATTCTAATAGGCAGCATTATACTAATACCAAAACCAGGCAAGGATATTACAAATAGGAAAACTGCAGACCATTATCTCCCATGAACAAGTCCAAACTCAACGTGGCCAGTTAGGCTCATCATGACCAGGCCAGCTTACCCTTCTAGCTTCATTTTCTTGCCACTCTCCTAATCCCCAAACATTTTGTTCCAGCCAAAATGAACATTTTTCACTTCATTGATGATGATGGTGATGATGATGATAACAGTAACAATAACATCAAATAATGCAACAACAACAACACTTAGTAGAGTCTTCCTAATGTGTCAACTTGGCTAGGAATTCTGTCCATGCATGTTTCTGGTTAGAGTGGGCTACAAGAGGTATTTTGTGGAAGATCTGGAGGGCATAACAGAGGCATTTTGTTTTTTACTCTTGGAAAGTTGGAATATGTGCTCTTGTAGCTCACTTCTGCCTCTGTGAACTTTCCTTCCAAAGGATCACGGCAGACTCACCCAGGCTCACTCCTGTTGCTATGATCTTGCCTCTTCTATCTTAAATTTTTCCTGTTTCACTGTCCCTAGCTTTCATTAAACTCTCAAAATCATCTGGACTTGTCTTGTAAATCTTTCCTGCATGAAGTCAAGAACTGAGGGCCAATATTACCACTAACAGTTCTACTTCTCCAATTAAAACCTGACTGAAACAAGTGCTTACTATGTGCTAGACACAGATACAAGCCAACTACTTATAACTCACTTAATTTACACAATGATCCTATGAGGTAGGAGTGTTTTTTTTTTTATCATTCATCACTTTTGTTTTACCTCATTTATGTTTGCCTTTCAGGCTTTCTCTTTGTGAGTAATGCTTAAAAAGGCATAGTTATTGGAGTAGTTTATTCAGAATTTAGTTGTATTATAACAGGAGGATAGTCTGTCATCCTGCTAGAAGTGACAGTGAGACAACTATTTTTCTACTATACCTCACTGAGTGAATTCATTATTCATCTCTACATTCACTTATTCAAACATTTTTATGTTCACTAAACATTTACCGAATACCTACTGAGTGTCAAGCCCTGTGCTAGAGCTTTTAATTGGAGATGAAAGTAAGTTTCTGAACTTTACAGTATATGTGGATATCTGTATATCTTTTCAGTGGCTAAAATAATATTTTTATTAAAAAATATGTAAATCACACTGAGTGCCACAGAAGTAGGAAGCATCAAATACTGAAGTTTATGGCATCCAAGATAATTTAAGTAAGATCCTATAATAATCCTAATAATTTCAAAAAAAATATGACAGCTCATATCTGGTAGCAACTTATTGATGATTAAGATGCTTGTAAAGTACTTGAAACTTCTTTGAAGAAAATCAGCTAATAAATACAAAACACCAACTTCATTCTAGTCTTCATTTTGTGTTAATCATGTTAGAATTAGAAAAGCAAATCCCAGAGTATGTTATTTCCTAGTCAATTCAGTCATTCAAGATAATATACTGGTGCACTGAGTATGTTCCTGAACAAGAAATAATCCCTACCTTAAGAATCCCACACTCAGCCAAGACCGGTTTGGCTCAGTGGATAGAGCGTCTGCCTGCAGACTGAAAGGTCCCAGGTTCAATTCTGGTCAAGGGCATGTACCTTGGTTGCGGGCACATCCCCAGTAGGGGTTGTGCAAGAGGCAGCTGATTTATGTTTGTTTCTCTCTCTCTCTCTCTCTCTCTCTCTCTCTCTCTCTCTCTCTCTCTCTCTCTTTTTTAAATATTTTTTTTAAATGTTAATGTTTTGGTTTTTACAAAAATATATTTTATTGATTTTTTAGAGAGGAAGCGGGAGGGATAGAGAGTTAGAAACATCAATGAGAGAGAATCATCAATCAGCTGCCTCCTGTACACCCCCCATTGGGGATGTGCCCACAACCAAGGTACATGCCCTTGACTGGAATCGAACCTGGGATCTTTCAGTCCGCAGGGCAACGCTCTATCCACTGAGCCAAACCAATTTTGGGTCGATGTTTCTCGATTATCTATGTTTCTAACTCTCTATCCCTCTCTCTTCCTCTCTCTTCCTCTCTGTAAATCAATAAAATATATTTTAAAAAAATCTCACACTCGCCCTGTCTGATGGTTGGTTGGTTGGTTGTTGTCCCTCGCACTGCGTTTCAATTTTCCAGTGGGGACATATACCTGGGTTGTGGGCTTGATCCCTGATGGGGGCATGCAGGAGGCAGCTGATTGCTGTTTTGCTCTCACACAGCCATGTTTCTCTCTCTCCTTCTAAAAATCAACAAAATTATTTTTTTAAAAAAGATTCCCATATTCTAGTGTGAAAGGCAAATAAGGAAAGAAATTATTAGTATACAAGGTGGAAAGTACAATATATACTAGTAAGAGTGTGGGGGAACAGGAAAAATAAATACTAGTATTTCAGTGGGTGAACAGAGGAAACATTGGTAAGTAGACACTGCTGGTAAACTCAACCAAGATTAGCCCATGAAAAGCTGACATCTTTGCTCCTCTTACCTCTCTTGTTGTTCTTCTTTTATCCTTTCCTCTAGTTTCTTCTTTACCAAAATACAAGCATCTGTGAGACAGACTTTATGAGCCTGTTCTAATTTCTGCTGTAGATCCAAAATCTTGAATGAAAAAAGTTTACAAATAAAACTTTAAAGAAAAATGTGAGCTATTTTCCAATTAGGGAAATATGATATAAATAACAAACACAATAGTACTGGCACACAATCTGATCACTCACTGATTTTTCCATATTATAAGTACAGTGTGTGATAAAAGTAGGTTTATAGTTGTTTGTATGGAAAAGAATACAATGATTAGTAAATAGTAATATAAGAATAAACTTTGTGTTATGCATACTCACAATTATAAACCTACTTTTGCCCAATCCTGAATATATATGTGTGCTCTCTTTTACAGCCATACACCATCCCACTCTAAGAATATACCATAAATTATTTAATTAACCTCCTACTCATGGACATTTAGGTTAATTCCAATATCTTGTTATTATAAACAATGTCTCTAAAATGATTTATGAGGTATGGATTTGCCAGGCAAAGGTTGTTATTATTATTATTATTACAGTATTATTATTATTATTATTATTTTAAATATATTTTATTGATTTTTTACATAGAGGAAGAGAGAAGGATAGAGAGTTAGAAACATCGATGAGAGAGTCTTCGAACAGCTGCCTCTTGCACAACCCCTACTGGGGATGTGCCCACAACCAAGGTACATCTCCTTGACCAGACTCGAACCTGGGACCCTTCAGTCAGCAAGCCGACGCTCTATCCACTGAGCAAAACCAATTTTGGCAAAGGTTATTATTTGTTTGTTTGATCGATAAGGCCTAACTGTTCCTGTAGGTATTAGACCAATTTGCACTTCTAACAGAAATGTGTGAAAGTGTCTGATTTCTCATAGGGTGGTACATTCATGAATACTATCTCAAAACAAAATCAAAGTCTCTTATAAACCAACTATCAGTTAGTATATTGCCTAGCACCAGTATTAGGTTCTTTAATACCTTGGTTATTCTAAAAATAAGATTTATGAATGTGAAAGAGAGAAATATAATTTTTTTTTAGAATTTACATGTTAGATTAAAACCATCATTAGCCGGGACCGGTTTGGCTCAATGAATAGAGCGTCAGCTTGAGGACTGAAAGGTCCCAGGTTTGATTCCGGTCAAGGGCATGTACCTTGGTTGCGGGCATATCCCCAGTAGGGGGTGTGCAAGAGGCAGCTGATCGATGACTCTCTCTCATCGATGTTTCTAACTCTCTATCTCTCTCCCTTCCTCTCTGTACAAAATCAATAAAATAATAAATAAAAAAAATGCCACTGGGATGCATAATTAAAAAAAATCATTAAATATTTTTGTTAGGTAAATATCCTTTTAAATTTGTTTACTTTTTTAAAAAAAATATTTTATTGATTTTTTTTTTACAGAGAGGAAGAGAGAGGGATAGTTAGAAACATCAATGAGAGAGAATCATCGATCAACTGCCTCTTGCACACCCCCTACTGGGGATGTGCCCGCAACCAGGTACATGCCCTTGCCCGGAATCAAACCCGGGACCTTTCAGTCCGCAGGCTGACGCTCTATCCACTGAGCCAAACCAGTCCCGGCTAAACTTGTTTACTTTTTAAAAATATATTTTTTTATTGATTTTTAGAGAGGGAGGAAGAGAGAGGGCTAGAAAGATAGAAACATCAAGGAGAGGGGAACATCATCGATGGGCTGCCTTGTGCATACTCTCTACTGAGGATTGAGCTGCAACCCAGGGATGTGTTCTTACTGGGAATCAAACTGGCAACCCCTTGGTTCCTGGGTCGACACTCAACCATTGAGTCACATTGGCCTGGCAAAACTTGTTTATTTATTGTTATAAGCCTTTGTGTCACCTAAATTTGTCACTTATACATAGTAAGAGTTCAATAAATATTTGCGGAATGACTAGATTTCAGCAGAATAGCTGTTCTCCCTCTATTTCATTCCTGACCCAACAATGAGTCCCTTACAATAGTTTGAAACCACATTCTCCACAAACATTCAGTGAATGCCAGTGTATGGCAGACCTTTTCTAAAAGAAGATCTTTCTGCATCAGCCTTAAGCCCTGGCACTTAGGACCTTGCAATATCCACACACCATAGGAGAGGTAAAGAAGCAGAATGATTCAGGGCAATGGCAGAGGCCAGGTCTAGTTCCTTTGAACTGCCCCATTTAGTTCTGTGCTCAGGGGAAATACTAACTTAAAGATATTCAGTCTTAATTCCACAAAAGAAAGTATCACTCCATTGGCTTCTCTGTCTAGGAGAGATGCCAAACTTTTGAACTTGCCATCCAATTTAAGAAAGAACATTTCCAAAACTTCTTACGTCCATTCTGTGATCCTCGTTAATTATATTCCTTCCTGCTCCACCTGAGAAATATCTTGACTTTTTTGTCAATCGTTTCTTTGCTTTTTCTTTTAACAATATATCACTCTATATGGCATGGCTATCATCTTGTACTATTTTGACCTTTATATCAGTGGAATTACACTATGAATTTCCTGACCTGGTTTTTATTAAATATTACATTGAATTCAGCATGTACCTGTAATTAATTCAGTTTCGCTGTTGCATGCTATTGTGTAAATATATAATTTATTTGTTCAATCTCATATCAGTAGGCATTTGGGTTGTTTCCAATTTTCTGCTTTTCCAAACACTATTACCATGAGAATGGCTAAATTCCTGCCTCCAGATACGTATATGCAGTATAATAATTTCTCTAGTGTTTATGCCTAGTAGAAGTGTGGGGTTGTATAGTATATACATCTTGAACTTAACTAGAAACCAACATCAAACTGTTTTCCAAAGTGTTTATTTGGATTTACTCTTCCAACTGTAGTCAGTATGAGCTCCTAATGCACAAAACCCTCACCAATATTTAGTAGTGTCTAAACTTTAAATTTTACCAATCTTTGTCAATTACTTTTTTATGGAGCAATAACACATGCATTAAAGTGTAAACTCAATACAATTTTACTTATAGAACCATCTCTCAGGCCATCGCTTCTCGGCCTTTTGGCTAAGGTCAAGTGTAGCATCTCTCAGGCCAACATGTAGAATACTTGTAGCGACACAGAAGATTCCCACATGTCCTGCATGTCTCCTCCCAGTTAAAAGGACTTACAGAGACAGCCATTAACCTATCGCCAGAGCTTAGTTTCTCTGTACTTGAACCTCATGTAAATGAAATTATACAGTATAAACTCTTTGTGTTGGCTTTTTTGGAAGAGAGAGAGATACAGAGTTAGAAACATCGATGAACATTAGGCTTTTGAGTTTAATTCAGATTGCTGTCACCTACTTCTTGGTATTACTAGTTTTATATTTATATAGTTAGATAAAATGGCATTTTTTAAAATACAAAATTTGACTCAGACAAACTTACAGATCAAAATGTGCACTTGTTACATCCTACTGCCACCTGGTGTTAAGCAATCTAAAATGCAGGGGCAATTATTTCAAAATGGCTCATTTCACAACACAAACCATTCCAAAAATTACAAAATAAAAATCATGTAAACACCAACCCAAATGAGAAGAGATAGGCTTTTAAAATTTGAATGTGTAAAAGAAAAGTAGTTTGGTTTTAATTCTTTAAGTTATTGCTTTTATGAAACACCTTTATAGGTTTATGCAGTTTGAAAAAAAATACACAAAATTTACTAGAATTATAGGAGCAGATGAAGTTGAAGGGAGGAAAGCACGAGAGAGTAAAGAAAAACCCCAGAATTCTATCAAGGTTGCACCATATCTATCATATTTCTTAAAGTCCTTAGGGAAACGGGTTTCATTAGTAGTATCCAGCGCATGTGACTTATTAAGTGTGAAGATAATTACCTTTTCCTCTGCATCAGCAACTTTGGATTTCTCCTGAGCCAGCTTTTCTTTCAGGGTGTTCTGTGATTTAATGCTCTCAGCCTGTGTCAGTACTTCCAGCTCCAGCTCCTTGATTTTCTGCTGACAGTGCTTCCACTCTGCTGGGGGTGGAGAGCACATCCTTGCACTATCTAATAACTTCTGCTGGGCCTGCTTTAGTTCAATTTTGATCTAGAGGTGGGGAATAAACAACAGTGATGGAAATAAGCATGGAGTGAATGTGAATGTGAGCCAGAATAAGCAGCTTTCAAAGGAATGCTGTCCCCAAGAGCTGACGAACATCCACCTCATGTGGCTGATTTCCTCTCTGGAGCTGCCACATATTAGTAAGGTTTGCCAAGGTCTCTCTCTCCAGATGACAGCTGGACAAAGGGATTTTTCTAAGAGTTTCAATACCTGCATGGTCTAAATATTTTTCCATCCTTTTTTCTATGACTCCAGGCTGGGTTTCATTCCCACTACTCTTTGAAGCTGCTTTTGCTAAGGGCACTAATGCCAAAGCAAGTCCAATGGACAGTTGACCTCTTTGTGTCATTCACTCCCTCCCTCTCAGAAAGTTCCCCTCCTCTCTTGGAGTCCGTGACACCAAACTCCCATGGTTTTCACTTACCTCTCTTGTGTTCCTTATCGGTTTCTTTTTTTTTTTGACTAATGCTACCCAACTTCTAAATGCTATTGGATTAAACTGGGCCTTGAGAGTGGATCATTCTCTCTCTTGGTTCATCCTCATGATTTAAAGTAAGACACCACCTTTATGCCAAGTTAACTGCCTAAGTGAAACTCCTTGATCTGCCCACATTTCCAAGATGGTTTTTCTCTCAGTCTTCCTGATTATAGTCAATGATGTCACCATCTACCCTGGGCAGGCTAGTAACCTGAGTTATCCTTGAGTCTTCCTTTTCCATTATGAGCCGATTCAGTGCAAGCTTTCTTTCTGCCTCCACAACAGGTCTTTTTGAGTCATTTGCGTCAAGGCTCTAGTCTAGATCATCTTCTCTAGCCCTAACCATAAGCAATAGCCTCAACCCCGGTCCTGCCATTTCCAGGTTTACTCCCTTCTAATCTGTTCTCTGCACAGCAGCCAAAGTGTTCTCTTTAAAACATAAATTGAGCCGGGACTGGTTTGGCTCAATGGATAGAGCGTCGGCTTGGGGACTGAAGGGTCCCGGGTTCGATTCCGGTCAAGGGCATGTACCTTGGTTGCGGGCATATCCCCTGTAGGGGGTGTGCAAGAGGCAGCTGATCGATGACTCTCTCATTGATGTTTCTAACTCTCTATCTCTCTCCCTTCCTCTCTGTACAAAATCAATAAAATATATATTTTTTAAAAAAAACAACAAAAAACAAAACAAAACATAAATTGAACTACTTGACACCCCTCCTTAAATATTTCAGTGGCTTCCCATCACTCTGGGAACAAATTGCAGCTTGCCTGGCCTTCTGTGATCCTGCCCTTGCCAACCTCTTTAAAATCATCCTGTCATTCCCTCTTCTTCCACTGACCTCCTGTCCTGCTGGTTTTTAGAGTTTCCCACACACCAGACTCTACTCTTTCTTCTGCTAGAAATGTATTCCCTTCCCATTCTCCTCATGATACGGTTAGTTCCTGTCTATTTTTCAGGTCTTAGCTTAAAAGGCACTCTGTAAGAGAAAACCTCCATGATCATTTAATCTGAAGAGATCTCTTTACTTACTTCTTATTATACCACATTTATTTTCTTCAGAGAACTTATCACCATTTATAATTAAACATGTATTTATCTACTCTTTTACATCCTTCTTCCTCACTCAAAATTTCCATGTGTTTTATTCATTTCTTAGTATTCAACACCTATCAAAGTGCCTAAAGTCGATGCTTAATCAATATTTACTGAACAAATAAATTAATGACATTTTAAGGAATATTAGAACCTGGTAAATGGACATAGTAGTTAGGACTCACAGACAAAAATACTGAGCTAGAATTTACTTCACTTTATATAAAATATAATTTTCTGGGCTCAAAGCTTTTCAACTAATTAATAGGGATTATAACTATAATTGCCTCAGCTTGTGACTTCTGCGTATTAACCATTCAAATGTTATCAAATGAATTAAAAGTTAATAATGTTTAACCTCTCTAAGCACATTACAGATAAACATCTATAATATGGAAATAACTACTTAACTCATAGGACAGTTGGAAAGCTTAATAAAACAAAGCAATGAAAGCAATCAAGAATAGAAATAGCCACATATGTAATACCTAATACAAGTTGGCTGTTGTTCTTCAAGAATCACTTACAAGGAGACATATGTAATACTTTAAACAATAAAGAATTTAAATAAATAAAAAAAGAATCACTTACAGAATATCTACTGTATTTAAAGTACAGAACTGAGGCAGATACTATTATAACTACTGTATGTTGGTTAGGCTTTCATATCAATGAAGTAGTTGAGATTCATACTTTACCCCATTTTAAATGAAAAAACTAAGTCTCAAATATAGTTAGCAAATGATAGAACTCCGGTCTGATTCTAGCCCAGCATTTAATATTAAACTGCCTCAAAATTGTGAAATGCCTGTATTTAAAAAATATATTTTTACTGATTTCAGAGGGGAAGGAAAAGGGAGAGAGAGAGAAATCTTAATAATGAGAGAGAATTATCAATCGGCTGCCTCCTGTACTCCCCACACTGGGGATCAAGTCTGCAACATGGGCATGCGCCCCAACTGAGAATCAAACTGTGACTTTCTGGTTCTTAGGTCAATACTCAACCACTGAGCCCCATCAGGCAGGCAAAATGCCTGTATTTTTTAATTTATCAACAAAGCTAGTTCTTGAAAAGTCTAACAAAATGGATAAACTAGTGAAACTCATTAAGGGAAAAGCAATAAAGGGTAAGTAACTACTATCATGAAGTTAAAAAGGACCATTGCTATATTTACAATTTTTAATGAATATGTTTATATAATTTTTAAAATTTAAATGAAAAAGAAAGTTGTTTAGAAAAATATGATGTGCCAAAGTTAATAGAAGAAGCATTAGGGGCTGCTGGCATAAGGGCAATGTGCTGTTTCTTTTCTTGTGTGGTGGTTACATGGATAATCACTTTACAACAATTTATTAAACTATACACTGAGTGGCCAGATTATTATGATCTCTAAAATGTGGTTGAAGGGAAAATTAAAAGGCAGTCTTGCAAGAAAATGTGATGAAGATTTAGAATTTTTGTTTTATTTTAATTTTAATGATTTTCTACAGAGAGGAAGGGAGAGGGATAGAGAGCTAGAAATGTTGATGAGAGAGAAACATCAACCAGCTGCCTCCTACACACCCCTTTCTTACCAAGGATGTGCCCACTACCAATGTACATGCCCATGACAGAATCAAACCTGGGCCCTTTTAGTCCACAGACTGACGCTCTATCCACTGAGCCAAACTGGTTTTGGAAAGATTTAGAATTTAATTTAAAACTATAAAGGCTTGAGGGAATATGATCAATATTCAAAAGATTATGAGGTTTATTCAAATAATCCTGAAATACTAGAACTCCTAGAAGAGCTTCCCTTGAAGTTTGGAATAAATGACTATTCATTTTCCTCTAATATATATATTAGAGGCCCAGTGCATGAATTCATGGATGGGTGGGGTCTGGCCAGCCTGGCCAGGGGGAGGGGACATGGGCAGTTGGCCGGCCTGTCTGCTGGTTGAACTCCTGGTCGAGGGGATAATTTGTTTGGGGTTCTGTGCGCTTCCTGGACTTGTAAGTCTATTTCTTTCACCAGATGGGGGAAGTTTTCTGTCACTATTTCTTCCAATAGGTTTTAGGTATCTTGCTCTTTCTCTTCTTCTGGACCCCCATAATTCTGATGTTGGTTTGCTTGAAGTTGTCCCAGAGGCTTCTTACACTATCTTCAACTTTCTGGATTCTCCTCTCTTCTTGCTTCTGTGGAGGAGTGTCCTCTGGCTCTTTGTGTTCCAAATCTTTGACTTGATTTTTGCAATCTTCCAGTCTGTTTTTAGGACTCTGTATAATATTTTTTATTTCATTCAGTGTACGCTTTATTTCTAGTTGGTCCCTTTTCATATTCTCAAAGGTCTCATTTATTTTATCAGCCTTTTCTAGGAAATTCTTGAAAAACCTTATAACTGTGGTTTTGAACTCTATGTCCATTCTTTTTTTTCTTTTTTAAAAAAAATATATTTTATTGATTTTTCACAGAGAGGAAGAGGGATAGAGAGTTAGAAACATCGATGAGAGAGAATCATCGATCAGTTGCCTCTTACATACCCCCTACTGGGGATGCGCCCACAACCAAGGTACATGCCTTTGACCAGAATCGAACCCAGGACCTTTCAGTCCACAGGCCGACGCTCTATCCACTGAGCCAAACCGGTCCCGGCTATGTCCATTCTTTTGCTTTCCTTCATTTCCTTCCTTTGTGGCCTGCCTCTTCTCTGCACTTTAGCTGCTTTCCTGAGTTGATGGAGTAGCTTTGTGTGCTAGGTGTCCTAGCAGGGCCCAGTAAGTAGCTCAGCTTTCCCAGTTACCTGAGGTGGACAGTCTTGGTGCAGCCCTTTGTGGGCTGTGTGTGCAGTCTTGTTGTTAGACCTTGCTTATTGTTGGTATCACTGGGGAGAGATGATCTCCAAGCCAATTGGCTGTGAGGATCAACAGTGTCTCAGCTAGTAGGGCTTCTGTGCTCTGCTTGGATGAGTCTCGGGGTGGTGCAGACAAGCTTTGGTTTCCCGTCAGCCTCGCCTTAAGAGGGTCCTATTCACCGAGTCCTGCAACACTGGCTGCTGGCCATGCACAACTCTGAGAGAGTTTTGCCCGTTGTCTGACAGTCCAATTTGTTTCTGACTGGAGCTGGCTATCAGTGCAACAGGGAGGCTTTGTTTTCCTTCTGAACAAGAAAGCTAGCCATGCGTTAGCTGCCCGCCCTCTCTGTGTGCATGGTGAGTAAGCTAGCAGCGTATTCGGTGGCCGCCCTTTCCATGCGCACAGATCTCTGCACCTCCACAGCTCCTGAGGCTCAGTGTCCTTTCTTTTTCCTTCCTATAATAGATGGTAGAGCTTTCACTCAGTCAGCCTTCTGGTGGTTCAGGGCGATGTTTGCTCTGGTTCCCAGTTGTACAATAATTTTAAAATTGTTATGGTAGGCTGCATTTAGGTGTTTACTTTATGCCACCATCTTGGTTTCTATATAGCCTTTTATTATATAGGAGTGGCCAGATTATTATGCATTCAGAGATCATAATAATCTGGCCACTCAGCATATTGTACTGCTATTGTAGTACAAAAGAATCCATTAATAGTATGTAAGCAAACAGATATGGTTGTTTTGTAAATAAATTTTTATCTATAAAAACAGAAGGCAGGTAAGATTTAACCCAAAGTTTGCTGACCCCTGCACCAGGGAATAAGGACTGTGTCAGTTTGCCTATCATTAAACCCTCATATCAACAAGATCCTACCCAGTGTATGACTGATGCTCAACAGATACTTACTGAAAACAAAAATCTTAGATAGGAGCTCACAGAAATTAGATACCTACATATTTATAGAATTGAACCACAATAAAAAGGAAGTATGACTATTTTACATGGTGGTTCAAATTGAAAATTTATGTCATTTATACAATGTAGATGAATATGTGGATGGCAGTTCTAATATTTTCAAACAAGCATGTTTGTGGGATGGTTTCTAACTTTAGATGCTCTTTGTGTCAGAAAGAACAACTCTATCCTCCTATGAATTATACTTTGGTGCAGTTGATAATTGAGTCAACCAATATCTTATTTATTAGAGATAAATAAGCCTAGACATAGAACTAGGGCAGGACAACCTGGGTTTTTGGGCTCAGGTCATTGAAATTTAACATGCTACAATTTTAGGTAATAATTTCAAAAGACTGTGTTACTTTACAACTTTTCAGGTTTACAGGTTGACAACATATACATACACTTTCAGCAGCAGAGAGACAACTGAGTTGTGTACCTACTTTGTAGGGAAAAGTTAAAAAAAGTTAACCTGAAGGCTCACATTGTCCACCCATCAATGGACATATCATGAATTATAAAGTTGAGGAATTTTGATTCATTTTTTCCCCCCCGGGGCCAATGGAGTAATTGAGCCCCGTCACTAAAGGATATGCCCACTAGAGTTACCTTAATGCTTTCTTCCTGAAGTAAGCTATTATGTTGCTTTAGGTCCAAATTCTTTGCCCGCTCATATCGGAGCTCTTTTTCAGCTGAGCTGCAGAGAATCTGGAGCCGGTGCAAATTCTGGCGAAGTTGTTGTACTTCTTCTTGCTCCTGGTATTTCAGTTTTTCTTTAGATAATAGATTCTAAAACAAACATTTGAAAAGAGAAACATGAACAATTTGAAAGAATATTGGTGAGACATGGGTTCTAGCTGTCATAACCAGAATTGTCAGGATGTGATTATTCACACGTTAGTTGGTACATGTTTATATACTTTAACTCCCATTATATTAGAGTAAAATATCAAGAAATTATGTGAACAAAAGCAGTTAAACATAGATACACAAGTCCAGGGAGCGCAGAGTCCCAAACTAGATGAACTCAAAGAGACCCACACCAAGACACATCCTAACTAAAATGTCAAAGGTTAAAGACCAAGTGATAATCTTAAAAGCGGCAAGAGAAAAGATTACCTAAAAAGGAACTCCCATAAGACTGTCAGCTCATTCCTCAACAGAAATATTTCAGGCCAGAAGTGACTGGCACCAAATATTTAAAGTGAAGAAAAGGAAGGACCTACAACCAAGACTACTTTATCCAGCAAGGCTATCATTTAAAGTTGAAGGAGAAATAAAGAGCCTCACAGATAAGAAAAAGCTAAAGGAGTTCATTATCACCAAACCAGTATTATAAGAAATATTAAAGGGACTTCTTTAAGAAGAGACATTTAAAGAGGTACATAGTTAGAAAGAATAAAATGGCAATAAATACGTACTTATTAATAATCATCACTTAAAATATAAATGGATTAAATGCTTTAATCAAAAGACATAATATCTGAATGCATAAAGAAAACAAGATCCATATATAGATGCTGTCTACAAAAGATCCACCTCAGAATGAAAGATATACACAAACTAAAAGTAAAAGGATGAAAAGATATTTCATGCAAATGGAAATGAAAATACTTTAAAAAATATATATTTTATTGATTTTTTTACAGAGAGGAAGGGAGAGGGACAGAGAGCCAGAAACATCAATGAGAGAGAAACATCGACCAGCCGTGTCCTGCACACTCCCCATCGGGGATGTGCCCGCAACCAATATACATGTCCCTGACAGAATCGAACCTGGGACCCCTCAGTCTGCAGGCTGACGCTCTCGCCACTGAGCCAAACTGGTTTAGGCGAAAATACTTTTATCAGACAAAATAGACTTTAAAACAAAGGCTCTAATAAGAGACAATTGACACTACATAATGATAAGGGGAACAATCCAACAAGAGGATATAACCCTTGTAAACATTTATGAACTCAACATAGGAATTCCTATACATATAAAGCAAATTTTGATGGAAAGGGACAGGTTGATAGTAATATCGTTATCGTAGGGGATTTTAATACCTATTGACATAAAAGGATAGATCTTCCATACAGAAAATCAATAAGAAAATGGCAGCCTTAAATGGCACTCCAGATCAGATGGATTTAATTGATATTTTTTAGAGCATTTCACCACAAGGCAGCACAATATACATTCTTTTCAAGTGCACATGGAACATTTTCTAGGATAGACCACATGTTAAGACACAAATCAAGTCTCAATAAATTTAAAAAGACTGAAATCATATCAAGGATCTTTTCTGACCAAATGATATGAAACTTTAAGTTAATTATTAGGTCTAGTAATAATTAATGTCGTTTTCTAATACTTTTTTAAATCAAATTTATTTAAACAATACAACAAAATTTAATCAACAATATAGTTGCCGTTGTTTTCTACTACTTGTGCCCAACGCTCAGGAAGCATTTTAATCCCTCTGTTGTAAAATTCTTGTGATTTTGATGCAAAAAATTCGGTCAATGCATTTTTGAGGCATTCTTCATTATTAAATTTTTTTCCAAGAAGAAAGTTTTGCAAAGAACGAAACAAATGGTAATCGGAAGGGGCAATATCAGGAGAATATGCAGGTTGAGGGAGAACTTCCCGTTCCAACTGGAGCAGTTTTTCAGCAGTGATTCTTGCAGTATGCGGTCGTGCGTTATCGTGAAGAATTACGCCCTTCCGATTAATCAGCGCGGGTTCTTTTTCTCTTAAAGCTTGGGCTAACCTTTCCAATTGGGCACTATACACTGCACTTGGAATGGTTTGGGTAGATGGTAAAAGTTCATAATGAAGAATTCCTTTAAAATTCCACCAAACACACAACATCACTTTTTTCGCATGCAAGTCAGGTTTTGGCGTGGGCTGCGGAGTCTCATTTTTGTCCAACCATTGAGGCCGCCTTTTCAAATTAACATACAGCACTCATTCTTCATCTCCGGTAACAATTTGCTCTAAAAACAGCAAACGGTTTTGACGAGAGAGGAGCGAACTGCAAATTGTGACTCTTTGATTACGGTTGTTGTCGGTCAACTCATGAGGAACCCATTTTCCAAACTTTTGGACTTTGCCAAGTGCACGCAATTGATTGGAAATTGTTTTCTGTGAACAATTTAAAGTTGTCGCAAGCTCTTGTTGGGTAATTTGAGGATTTTGCACCAAAAGAGCTTGAAGAGCTTCTTGATCAAAATTGGACACATGGCCTCGACCACTCTTGTCATCTAACGAAAAATTTCCCTCACGAAATTTCTCAAACCAACGCTGGCATTTTCTGGTGCTAACTGCATCTTGACCAAGAGCACTACAGATGTTTTTTGCAGCCTCACTTGCTTTTCTTCCTAATTGGAACTCGTAAAGCATGCAGTGCCGAATATGCTCTTCATCCGCCATCTTCTTAGCCCTAGTTTTGCAACAAAAACCAAACCAAACACAAACTTTTTCAAGCAAAACTTGTTAATTGCACTTCACACGTTCTGTAGATACGTGTTTGAAGGTTATGTCAATACAAGTCAACGCCAAGCAAGATTTTAAACGAATGTTAAAAAACGACATTAACTATTACTAGACCCAATATAAGAAAAAAAAATTAAAAAACACACAAAGTCATGGAGGCTAAATATCTTACTAAGCAATGAGTGGGCTAACAAGGAGATCAAGGAGATAGAAGAAGAAATCAGATAACGATGAAAATGGAAATACAGCCAAAACCGGTTTGGCTCAGTGGTAGAGCATCGGTTTGCGGACTGAAGGGTCCCAGGTTCGATTCCGGTCAAGGGCATGTACATTGGTTGTGGGCACATCCCCAGTAGGGGTTGTGCAGGAGGCAGCTGGTTGATGTTTCTCTCTCATCGATGTTTCTAGTTCTCTATCCCTCCCCCTTCCTCTCTGTAAAAAATCAATAAAATATATATAAAAAAAAAAGAAAATGGAAATACAACAACCCCAAATCTATGGGACACAGTGAAAGCAGAGGGAAATTCATAACATTACAGGCCTACCTTAAGAAACAAGAAAAATCTCAAATAAATAACTTAGTCTCACACCTAAAGGAATTAGAAAAAGTACAACAAAGGAAGCCAAAAGTGAATAGAAGAAAGGAAATAATAAAGATCAGAGTGTAGCCTGGCTGGCATGGCTCAGTTGAGCAACAAACTATAAACTAAGAGGTCACAGTTTGATTCCCAGTGAGGACATATGCCTAGGTTGAGGCTCAATCCCCAGTGTGGGGCCTGCAGGAGGCAGCCAATCAATGATTTTTGTCATCATTGATATTTCTATCTCTCTCTCTTCCTTCTTCTTTGAAATAAATAAAAATATATTTTAAAAAGATCAGAGAGTAAGTAAACAAAATAGAATCTAAAAAATCAAAAACAAATGTTCAATGGAAATAAGAGCTGATTCTTTGAAAAGATAAACAAGATTGATAAATCTTTAACCATATTCATTAAGAAAAAAAAGAGAGAGAACCTAGAGAGTACTATGCTAAATGAAATAAGTCAGTCAGAGAAAGACAAATGTTATTTCACTTAAATATGGAATCTAAGAACAACACAAACAAACAAAAAGAAACAGCTCATAGAACAGGGAATAGACTGATGGCTGCCAGAGGGTAGAGGGGCTGGGTGCAAAAGGTGAAAGGATTGTGAAGTACAGATCGGTAGTTAGACAATTCATGGGGATGTAAAGTACAGCATAGGAAATACAGTCAATAATATTGTAATAACCATGTATGGTGCCAGATGGGTACTAGAAATGTCAGGGGGAACACTTTGCAAAGTATATGATTGTCTAATCACTATGCTGTACACCTGGACCTAATACAAACTAATACTGAATGTAAACTATAATTTTTAAAATGTTTAAAGGTCAAGTTCTAGTGCAGACAGATCCAGATTTCACAACAATGCATCATTCTGAGCAACTATTTAACTTCTGTAAAGCCTAATATTCCTCACCCATAAAGTAGAAACAATAATATTCCTGTCTCACTGTACTGCTGAATATATACAGGGTGATATTTAGTAAAGTGCTTAGAACACAGTAAATATTCAATAATATTATTAAAAACCCATGAAGCTAGGTTTTAAACCTATAATATTGAGATATTCATCATGGTTGAACTTGTTTCAAGAATATAGGGAAAGTCATATCTAGAATTTAATTATCACAACATCAGTGTTGAACAGCAGAAATTAAGTCCCCTAAGGCCATCAGCAGCCACAAATACATATGAACAACAGAGCTCACATATTCAAGAGGCTCTCACAGTTCTTTTTCTATATATTTACCATGTATAAGCATTCTTTAAAGTTTGGTGTCTGGTCTCAGTCTAGAGTTGCTTAAATTTGCACATGATTAAGATGACACAACACATATGGATAGCAGCTAGATACTACTGTGTTTCCCCGAAAATAAGACATCCTCCAAAAATAAGACCTACTTACAGGTTTCCTTCTGAGTGAAATATAAGGCATCCCCTGAAAATAAGCCCCCCCCCCCAGGCTAAACATGAGAGATTTGATCCACTGATTCTGAAAGAAATGGAGTCACAAGAAATTCACCAGGAAATTCAGGAATTGGATTGTTATGATGATGTTCCAGAAGATGATGACATGATTGTCATTGAATAAATGAGTAAATTCTTGATACTGTAGGATTCACAGTTTGTCTGGTTTGTGTTGACAACTACCGTACCACCGTACCGTATACAGGTAATAAATTTCCTTTATTTTCACTTAACAATAAATGTGCACCGTATTCT